ACTGACTGATGACAACCTCCAGCAGAGACTGTCTGATGACAACATCCAGCATAGACGGTCTCATGACAACATCCAGCAGACTGTCTGATGACAACATCCAGCAGACTGTCTGATGACAACATCCAGCAGAGGATGTCAGATGACAACCTCCAACAGACTGTCTGATGACAACATCCAGCAGAGACTGTCAGATGACAACATCCAGCATAGATTGTCTGATGACAACATCCAGCAGAGACTGTCTGATGACAACCTCCAGCGTAGACTGTCTGATGACAACATCCAGCGTAGACTGTCTGATGACAACATCCAGCAGAGACTGTCAGATGACAACCTCCAGCATAGACTGTCTGATGACAACATCCAGCAGAGACTGTCTGATGACAACATCCAGCATAGACTGTCTGATGACAAACTCCAGCAGAAACTGTCTGATGACAACATCCAGCATAGACTGTCTGATGACAAACTCCAGCAGAAACTGTCTGATGACAACATCCAGTAGAGACTGTCTGATGACAACCTTCATCAGAGACTGTCTGATGACGATAAGATAGGTTTAGAACATTACATTTACCAGATAACTTTTGACATCTCTGAAGTACAAAGATTACAAACCAAATATCAAAGTAATGCTTGATATTTCTTACGACTGTACAAAGATTAGACAACAAATATTAAGTCTCTGTCATAAGTAAATTGCAATTTTTAATTCGTTTTTTAAAGACTCCCTAAAAGGACATCAATGTGCAGAAAGATATCAGCAGGAATTTTGGGTGAAAACATGACAAGAAATAACTAAGGAATGAAAATTTATATCAAATTTCTGATACTAATGGTTAGGTTTCATAATGTCTTAAGTCTTATCAACAACTATAGTCAATTAAGGGCAGGAGGTAAGGTGTGTAGATGTGTTTGTGGGAGGCTGTTTTACTTCCATCATTTAACAACTATAGTCAATTAAAGATGGGAGGTGAGGTGTGTAGATGTTGTATTATGCAGACCTAGTGATAGTGCTGACTATACTGTACAGTGTAACCGACCTGAAGTATACAACCAAAGACACCCAGCAGGACACCTCACCTTACCACAATGTTGACAAGTCTAACCTTAATTTGTTGTTGGTACTTGCCTACTACACATCACAGTAACTTTATACATATAAAGGATGATGATTTATCACAATTCACTAATTAACATGTTATTGAGACATTAAGAAACAAATTATCTCAGTAACACAGTTTATAGGACAAAACATTCATTTTGATTTTTCTTTTGAGAAATTAGTTGTAAAACATTTATATCTTTACAATTATTTTGATAAAATACATTTCACCAGAACACTGACGTATGTCGGTGTGATTAAGTAACACAATGATGCAAGTACACTTACAACCAGGCTGTATTTGTGATTTTTAAGATTATCAAATGTACAAATGTTAAAACAATGTAACCCCCTTCCCCAATTCTCCTCTACTCTTATATTTCCCTTTCTACTTGTCTAGTGGGAGTTGTACTCTACAAATAATCAATGGAATTTATAACTATCATTCTTGCTGAATCGTTTGCGAAGGAAAAAAAATTAAATTGAAAGTTGCTAGGGCCAAATGGGATTTAGCCGACCCCTCACCCAGAATCAGAGTAAGTGTTTCGCCTTGTGGGCTTATTGTCCTATGATAAGCTTACTCCTCATCCTTAGTCAGATTAAGTGATTTGTCACCATGAACTTTTTGTCCTATAATGAGCAGATTCTTGACTCAGAGTCAGAGTTACTGTATTCTGCCTGTCTGGCGTTTTCACCTGTAAGAAGTCCATCCCTGTCTGAGAGTTAATGCTTGGTTCCCTTTGCATATTGTAATGTGTTTGCCTCCTGGACATTTTGTCATGTAGTACTGTATGTCTTTGGTGTAACAGTTTCCTAAATTTCAGCAAATAAATTAATAAATATTGAATAAACTACAAGTGATGTAAAACAATATTAAAAAAAATGGAATAAAAGATCAGCTAACCGTAGATTTTCTACTTTTCAAAAAAAAAAAAGATGCAAAAGTAAGCCCTATTTTAAAATTCAAAAGATAAATAAAATGTAAGAACATTGCACATGACAAGTTTAGAAAAATTACTCTAAGGCAAGATATTTCTAATGGAATACTGACAAAATATGTCAACGTTTCATGAATAAAATGCTTCAATGACTAAGACAAGTTTAACAAGAGTGCCGTGGACACAGTATATGCCGCCACAAAATATAAAGATCAAGACTGGTCCTTTTAATTATCGCTTTTAACATGTCTGCATCATAAATCTTACAAAAATCAATGAACCGTAAAATTGCCCCTTCATGCACATCAAACCATTGTATTAGTGACATTGAGCAAGTTTCATGAAAATCTGATGATTAGTTTAGGATAAGTTGTGTTCACAAGAAATGGACATACGGACGGAGGGACGGAAAAGATGACGCCAATATACGACCGCCTCCGACTGCATATAAAAATCGGAACAAACAGAGAAATTAGTAAATTAGCCAGATTATACATTGTTAAATTTTGAAGGTCGTACTAAAAATTTTGGAAAGTAAGAAAAATGTTTATGATGTAATTTCATTGTCAAGATTCCCATTTATAGACAGATTTTATATCAATATAAATTTTAACGAACTTAAGAGGTTAGAGAAAATCTGGGAAATTGTAGATTTTGATGATTCTTAATATTGGTTATTAAAATGACAAATTAGAAAATTACATAATAGTTTTTGTGTTTTGGTGTTTTTTCACCAAATTTAAGGAAGGTAAGATGAAGAGAATCTTATATCTTATTCATAGGAGAATGACAAAACAGTTCCAAGGAATTTCTCATTCAAGTCTCTGGTAAAGTAAAATGACATCACAATGGAAACCATAGAAACCTTCAACCAATCACAGTTCTGCTAGGTCATCAGATAATAACACAAATGTATAGTAACCAAAATATCTGTAATGGGTGTTATAACACTGAAAACAGTGTGGTAATGTTATGGGTGTTATAACACTGATAACAGTGAGGTAATGTTATGGGTGTTATAACACTGATCACAGTGTGGTAATGTTATGGGTGTTATAACACTGATAACATAATAGTTATGTGGGTTATAACACTGATAACAGTGTGGTAATGTAATGGGTGTTGTAACACTGATAACAGTGTGGTAATGTTATGGGTGTTATAACACTGATAACATAATAGTTATGTTATGGGGGTTATAACACTGATAACAGTGTGGTAATGTTATGGGTGTTGTAACACTGATAACAGTGTGGTAATGTTATGTGTTGTAACACTGATAAAAGTGTGGTAATGTTATGTGTGTTGTAACACTGATAACAGTGTGGTAATGTTATGGGTGTTGTAACACTGATAACAGTGTGGTAATGTTATGGGTGTTATAACACTGATAACAGTGTGGTAATATTATGGGTGTTATAACACTGATAACAATGTGGTAATGTTATTGGTGTTATAACACTGATAACAGGATAGTTATGTTATGGGTGTTATAACACTGATAACAGTGTGGTAATGTTATGGGTGTTATAACACTGATAACAGTGTGGTAATGTTATGGGTGTTATAACACTGATTACAGGGTAGTTTTGTTATGGGTGTTATTAATTGATAACCTGGTAGTTATTGATATGTCATAACACTGATAACTGGTTGGTTATTGGTATGTTATAACACTGATAACAGTGTGGTAATGTTATGGGTGTTGTAACACTGATAATATTGTGGTAATGTTATGGGTGTTGTAACACTGATACCAGTGTGGTAATGTTATGGGTGTTGTAACACTGATAACAGTGTGGTAATGTTATGGGTGTTATAACACTGATAACAGTGTGGTAATGTTATGGGTGTTATAATACTGATAACAATGTGGTAATGTTATGGGTGTTATAACACTGATAACAGGATAGTTATGTTATGGGTGTTATAACACTGATAACAGTGTGGTAATGTTATGGGTGTTATAACACTGATAACAGTGTGGTAATGGTATGGGTGTTATAACACTGATTACAGGGTAGTTATGTTATGGGTGTTATTAATTGATAACCTGGTAGTTATTGATATGTCATAACACTGATAACAGGATGGTTATTGGTATGTTATAACACTGATAACAGGATAGTTACTGGTGTTATAACACTGATAACAGGGTAGTTATGTTATAGGTGTTATAACACTGATAACAGGGTAGTTATGTTAATGGTGTTATAACACTGATAACAGGGTATGTACTGTGTATTATAACACTGATAACATGGTAGTTATGTTAAAGGTGTTATAACACTGATAACAGGGTTGTTATGTAATGTGTGTTAAAACACTGATAACAGGGTAGTTATGAGATGGGTGTTATTACACTGATAACAGGGTAATTATGTAATGTGCATTATTACACTGATCACAGGGTAGTTTTGTTGTATGTATTACAACACTGATAACAGGGTAGTTATGTAATGGGTGTTATTACAGACACCAGGGTACTTATGTAATGGGTGTTATTACACTGATAACAGGGTAGTTATGTAATGTGCATTACTACACTGATAACAGGGTAGATACTGGTGTTTAACACTGATAACAGGGTAGTTATGTGATGGGTGTTTTATCACTGATAACAGTGTAGTTACTGGTATATTATAACACTGATAACAGGGTAGTTACTGGTATGTTATAACACTGATAACAGGGTAGTTACTGGTGTTATAACACTGACAACAGGGTAGTTACTGGTGTTTAACACTGATAACAGGGTGGTTACTGGTATGTTATATCACTGATAACAGTGTAGTTACTGGTGTATTATGACACTGATAACAGGGTAGTTACTGGTATGTTATAACACTGATAACAGGGTAGTTACTGGTGTTTAACACTGATAACAGGGTAGTTATGTTATATGTGTTATAACACTGATAACTGGGTAGTTATGTAATGTGCGTTATTACACTGACACCAGGGTAGTTATGTGATGGGTGTTGTCACACTGACAACGGGAAAGTTGTAATAAAAAGATGAAGGTAATTATAAATACAAATTTTCATCACAAACTGCAAATAGAAAGAAACTGATGACTATGTTAGGAGTAGATGTCACCGGACACATTCTTCACACAAGGCTGATTGACCCTTGATATAGGTACGGCACGGACAGAGGCGCTGGAGATTGGCGGACTGACCAACACAGCTAAACAACATCTCCTCCTTTTGTATAATACACTCGGCAGTGTTAATGTCATAGGCTGGATAATAGATATCCGACAAGGATTTTCCCAATTTACACGATACACCATATTTGGTGAGAGGATCCATGGAATTCAGCTCCCGGAAATGACTCGGCTCACACATAAGATCTACAGAATAAAAATGTTTAATTAACATCATAATTTTATAATAGTTTACAAGAGATACAATCTTTATATTTAGATGGAAAGTGGACAATTCAAGCCACGTTTAACCAAATTTATATCAAATAGAAATGAATGAAATACTTTGTTTATCACAAACCTTAAAGACAACACCATTTAATAGAAATATCAGGAACCAGCAACAATTATCATAGATTTCTAGGTCATTACACTGATGACAGAGTGGTTACTGGTATGTTATAACACTGATAACAGGATATTTACTGGTGTGTTATAACACTGATAACAGGGTGGTTACTGGTATGTTATAACACTGATAACAGGATATTTACTGGTGTGTTATAACACTGATAACGGTGGTTACTGGTATGTTATAACACTGATAACAGGGTGGGTACTGGTGTTTTAACAGATAACAGGGTAGTTACTGGTGTTTAACATTGATAACAGGGTAGTTACTGGTGTTTAACACTGATAACATGGTAGTTACTGGTATGTTATATTACTGACAACAGGGTAGTTACTGGTATGTTATAACACTGATAACAGAGTGGTTACTGGTATGTTATAACACTGATAACAGAGTGGTTACTGGTATGTTATAACACTGATAACAGGGTAGTTACTGGTGTTTAACACTGATAACATGGTAGTTACTGGTATGTTATAACACTGACAACAGGGTGGTTACTGGTATGTTATATCACTGATAACAGTGTAGTTACTGGTGTATTATAACACTGACAACAGGGTAGTTACTGGTATGTTATAACACTGATAACAGGGTAGTTACTGGTGTTACAACACTGACAACAGGGTAGTTACTGGTATGTTATTACACTGATAACAGGGTAGTTATTGGTGTTTAACACTGATAACAGGGTAGTTACTGGTATGTTATAACACTGATAACAGGATAGTTATGTGATGTGAATTATAACACTGATAACAGGATAGTTATAACACTGATAACAGGATATTTACTGGTGTGTTATAACACTGATAACAGGGTGGTTACTGGTATGTTATAACACTGATAACAGGGTGGGTACTGGTGTTTTAACAGATAACAGGGTAGTTACTGGTGTTTAACATTGATAACAGGGTAGTTACTGGTGTTATAACACTGATAACAGGGTGGTTATTGGTATGTTATAACACTGATAACAGTGTAGTTACTGGTGTATTATAACACTGATAACAGGGTAGTTACTGGTGTTATAACACTGACAACAGGGTAGTTACTGGTGTTTAACATTGATAACAGGGTAGTTACTGGTGTTATAACACTGATAACAGGGTAGTTACTGGTGTTATAACACTGACAACAGGGTAGTTACTGGTGTTTAACACTGATAACAGGGTGGTTATTGGTATGTTATAACACTGATAACAGTGTAGTTACTGGTGTATTATAACACTGATAACAGGGTAGTTACTGGTGTTATAACACTGACAACAGGGTAGTTACTGGTGTTTAACACTGATAACAGGGTAGTTACTGGTGTTATAACACTGACAACAGGGTAGTTACTGGTGTTTAACACTGATAACAGGGTGGTTACTGGTATGTTATAACACTGATAACAGGGTGGTCACTGGTATGTTGTCTAGACCACTAAACACCATCTTACTCTCAGACCAACTAATCTCTGAACAGGACCTGTCTTAACCACTAAACACAAACTTACTTTTTGACCAGCAAACGTCTTGACAGGATTTGTCTGGTTCACCAAGCAGGAACTTGATGGATGAACTGGGTGGCCATTTTGCGGGCCGTTTTTGAAATTCACAGAAATTCTGATGCTCGATGTAGGCATTCATCCTCTGTAACATTCCTTCCTCTGTGAATTCGTATGGAAGATAAGGCTGAAACTTAAACAATACATACAAATGTACACCACTTTAGTGTCATACACAATTTGAATTGCAAATCTACCAAAAGTTTCATTTCAAAGAATGTATTTTTCACTGAAATCATGAAACAGAATGTTAAAACGTTTTTCATGAAATTCAGCTAAGAGATTGACAGCAGTCTTCCCCAAGAAGAGTTCCTGGGAGATAATGGCCCCACCACTGAATGATCTTTAATGGTCCTGTGATAGGCAGATCTTTTCTCTACTTCTCCTTTCTTTCCTCTTATCATTAAATAGTGAGGGAATCCTACATATGAGATCTATGATAGATCTGACAAGAACTTTCAGGAATTAGCAATCACCATCCAAACATAAAAATCCAAGATGGTCTCCGGTCAGGATATTGTTTCTGGAGCAATCACATTGAATGGGCACAAACTGGAATCATGGGGAACCTACACATCAAGTTCAAAAAATAAAGTTTCAGACAATTCTCAAGAAATAGTGATGACAGACATAAACTGTCAATATCAATATCAAAGATGGCCAACTGTCGGCCATTTTGTTTCACTGTCTCAAAATTTAATGGACCCAACTACGAACCATGGTAAACATACACAGTATTTGAGAAAGGATCTTTTAAGTACTTCAGAAGAAATGACAATTAAAACTTCAATGTTGAAAATAGTATGGTTGACTGTCGCTCCTTTAGTTCCATTAATTGGACTCCAAATTGGATCAACACTACAAGGGACAGAGGAAAACATATACATTAAGCTTGACAATTATTCTTCAACTTTTTCACAAGAAATCGTGATTACTATCTTCAACTGTCAAAATCCAAGATGGCCGACGGTCTGCCATTTTTTGTACTAATCAGACTTATTCAATGGAAAGTATTTTGTAATATGGGGAATATACTCATATCAAATTGGAGAATATCCTTCAAGTCAATCTCAGGAAAAACAAGGATGGTTGATGGACGGATGATGGATGGACAACAGATGACGGACAAAAGTGATATGAACAGATCATGATCTGGTGATGGCTGGATAAAATATCAACACTCATTTCCCAAGCCGAACCCATCATGTCAACACATCTATTTTACAACCAATTAATAACAAGCCTGCCTCTGCCAAACTTTCCCTAAATGTTTCCTTCTATATCAACAAAAACTCCACAAGTACCTTTTTATTCTCCAGGATTTTGGCGACAGTATATCTAACTTCATCTAGGTTGTTAATATCAATTGTGTGAACATATGGTTCTCCAATAAACTGTTCCGCATAAGGATGCTGGCTCGTCACCTGTAAAATACAGCTCAGAAATGTCAAACAAAAATCCACATAACAATCGGACATCAATCTACATACTTAGCAATAAGCCCAGGTCTGGTAATAAACCCATCAAAATATATGTAATTCCTCAGTAAAATCAGAATCCAATGTTATTTGTGTAATAAGCCCACCCTTTGACATTAGGTATTAAGTAGTTATGTGTTGCTCCTCCTTATTCTATAACTATAACCCCTGGAACAAATATGCATCAAGCATTTATTTTTGGAAAAAAAAAAAAGAGAAAAGTTCTATAAATTCAAAATTCAAAACTGTGCTTATAAAACCCTCAATTTACAAAAAAAAACTAAGAAATATAAAACTCACAGCATAATAATGAAACAAGCAGAGAAGACAGTTGTGCCATAACAGCCAACTATGACCTTTAACCTATGAACTTACTTGTCTCTGAGTAGGCTTGCCCTTAAAAAAAGGTGTATTCTTGCTGCTATGAGGTGGCTTAAATTTCGGGTTGATAAAAACGCAGCCATTAGCTATGGCCTCAAGTGGAGCAGGACCCTCATAGGGGAACCCAAGTCCCACAAATATCTACAGAACAAAAATAATCACACAAACCTGTAGGAAAAGATTTATCACAGTAAAAGTATAAAAAATATTCTAGAAGAAATTTTATTTTAGCTAAAATAGGATTATGCTTATTACAGTTTCTGTATTTTGTTTAAATAGCAATTATTGTAAATGTGTAAATTTATCATTGTGTTAATTGAAAAATGCATATTTTTGTAAAACAGCGAAATTTGAGCCCCACACACATATATGGTTTAACAGTCCCATAACTACTAGTATAAATCAAAGTACACATTGTGTTCTACCAATTGTTGTTTATCACTAAATTACCATAGAGAAAATCTATCATATGACATTTTCTTAAATATCTACTAAAAATATTCATAGTCAACAGAAACATGCATCCTTCAATACGGTATATAGCCATTGTATAGCACACACCTTTGAATGTACAATGTAAAAACCTGACAAAATATTGGTCAATAGAATATAGGGGACAACACAGATGTTTACAATTGACTGACATAGAAGAGAGTGAAGATTATTTTTGACTGAAGAAAGATATAATGTACATTACCTTTGACTGACGTAGGAGATAATGAAGATTACCTTTGACTGACGAAGGACATAATGAAGATTACCTTTGACTGACGTAGGAGATAATGAAGATTACCTTTGACTGACGAAGGACATAATGAAGATTACCTTTGACTGACGTAGGAGATAATGTAGATTACCTTTGACAGACGTAGGAGATAATGAAGATTACCTTTGACTGACGAAGGACATAATGAAGATTACCTTTGACTGACGTAGGAGATAATGTAGATTACCTTTGACTGACGTAGGAGATAATGAAGATTACCTTTGACTGACGAAGGACATAATGAAGATTACCTTTGACTGACGTAGGAAATAATGTAGATTACCTTTGACAGATGTAGGAGATAATGAAGATTACCTTTGACTGACGAAGGACATAATGAAGATTACCTTTGACTGACGTAGGAGATAATGAAGATTACCTTTGACTGACGAAGGACATAATGAAGATTACCTTTGACTGACGTAGGAGATAATGAAGATTACCTTTGACTGACGAAGGACATAATGAAGATTACCTTTGACCTTTGACGTAGGAGATAATGAAGATTACCTTTGACTGACGAAGGACATAATGAAGATTACCTTTGACTGACGTAGGAGATAATGTAGATTACCTTTGACTGACGTAGGAGATAATGAAGATTACCTTTGACTGACATAGGAGATAATGAAGATTACCTTTGACTGACGTAGGAAATAATGTAGATTACCTTTGACAGATGTAGGAGATAATGAAGATTACCTTTGACTGACGAAGGACATAATGAAGATTACCTTTGACTGACGTAGGAGATAATGTAAATTACCTTTGACTGACGTAGGAGATAATGAAGATTACCTTTGACTGACGTAGGAGATAATGAAGATTACCTTTGACTGACGTAGGAGATAATGAAGATTACCTTTGACTGACGAAGGACATAATGAAGATTACCTTTGACTGATGTAGGAGATAATGAAGATTACCTTTGACTGACGTAGGAGATAATGAAGACTACCTTTGACTGACGTAGGAGATAATGAAGATTACCTTTGACTGACGAAGGACATAATGAAGATTACCTTTGACTGACGTAGGAGATAATGTAGATTACCTTTGACTGACGTAGGAGATAATGAAGATTACCTTTGACTGACGAAGGACATAATGAAGATTACCTTTGACTGACGTAGGAAATAATGTAGATTACCTTTGACAGATGTAGGAGATAATGAAGATTACCTTTGACTGACGAAGGACATAATGAAGATTACCTTTGACTGACGTAGGAGATAATGTAAATTACCTTTGACTGACATAGGAGATAATGAAGATTACCTTTGACTGACGTAGGAGATAATGAAGACTACCTTTGACTGACGTAGGAGATAATGAAGATTACCTTTGACTGACGTAGGAGATAATGAAGATTACCTTTGACTGACGAAGGACATAATGAAGATTACCTTTGACTGATGTAGGAGATAATGAAGATTACCTTTGACTGACGTAGGAGATAATGAAGATTACCTTTGACTGACGTAGGAGATAATGAAGATTACCTTTGACTGACGTAGGAGATAATGAAGATTACCTTTGACTGACGTAGGACATAATGAAGATTACCATTGACTGACGTAGGAGATAATGAAGATTACCTTTGACTGACACAGGCGATAATGAAGATTACCTTTGACTGACGAAGAACATAATGAAGATTACCATTGACTGACGTAGGAGATAATGAAGATTACCATTGACTGACGTAGGAGATAATGAAGATTACCTTTGACTGACATAGGAGATAATGAAGATTTCCTTTGACTGACGTAGGAGATAATGAAGATTACCTTTGACTGACATTGGAGATAATAAAGATTACCTTTGACTGACATTGGAGATAATGAAGATTACCTTTGACAGACATAGGCGATAATGAAGATTACCTTTGACTGACGTCGGAGATAATGAAGATTACCTTTGACTGACGTAGGCGATAATGAAGATTACCTTTGACTGACATTCGAGATAATTAAGATTACCTTTGACTGACGTAGGAGATAATGCAGATCCTCTCCGTTTAGGAAACCATGATTAATGACATACTCTGGAAACTGAGATTTTTTTCCATGCGTAGTATTTTTTTGATCAAAGTAAACAGTCCCATGAACATCCAGCTGAGCATTTTTTATCACCTCTAAATATTTTTGCCGTCCCTGAAAATGATCAGGAAATAGATGTAAAAATGTAATAAAATGAAAAATTTAAATTATAATTTCAAACCAGAGGCCAAGAGGCCCTCTATTATGAAGATTTTATACAAACTCAACCCCTACTGGCAATAAGCTAGATTGTACTTTTGTAGAGATCATACCCTACTGCTGAGAGGAGAACTAGACTGTACTGTTATATAGACACAACCCCAACTGATGACAGCAGAACCAGACTGTACTGTTATATAGACACAGCCCCTACTGCTGACAGCAGAACCAGACTGTACTGTTATATAGACACAACCCCTACTGCTTACAGGAGAACCAGACTGTAGTTATATAGACACAGCCCCTACTGCTGACAGCAGAACCAGACTGTACTGTTATATAGACACAACCCCTACTGCTGACAGGAGAACCAGACTGTACTGTTATATAGACACAACCCCTACTGCTGACAGGAGAACCAGACTGTACTGTTATATAGACACAACCCCTACTGCTGACAGGAGAACCAGACTGTACTGTTATATAGACACAACCTTTACTGCTGACAGGATAACTAGACTGTACTGTTATATAGACACAACCCTTACTGCTGAGAGGAGAACCAGACTTTACTGTTATACAGACACAACCTTTACTGCTGACAGGAGGACTAGACTGTACTGTTCTAAAGACACAACCCCTACTGCTGACAGGATAACTTGACTGTACTGTTATACAGACACAACCTTTACTGCTGACAGGAGAACTAGACAATGTTATATAGACACAACCCCTACTGCTGACAAGAGAACTAGATTTTACTGTTATATAGACAAAACCCCAACTGATGACAAGAGAACCAGACCATACTGTTATATAGACACAACCCCAACTGATGACAGGAGAACTAGACTGTACTGTTATATAGACACAACCCTTACTGCTGACAGGAGAACCAGACTGTATTTTTATATAGACACAACCCCAACTGATGACAGGAGAACTAGACTGTACTGTTATATAGACATAACCCCTACTGCTGACAGGTAAACTGTACTGTTATACAGACACAACCCCTACTGCTGACAGGAGAACCAGACTGTACTGTTATATAGACACAACCCCTACTGCTGACAAGAGAACTACACTCTACTGTTATATAGACACAACCCCTACTGCTGACAGGAGAACCAGACTGTACTGTTATATAGACACAACCCCTACTGCTGACAAGAGAACTACACTCTACTGTTATATAGACACAACCCCTACTGCTGACAAGAGAACTACACTCTACTGTTATATAGACAAAACCCCTACTGCTGACAGGAGAACTAGACTGTACTGTTATATAGACACAACCCCTACTGCTGACAAGAGAACTACACTCTACTGTTATATAGACACAACCCCTACTGCTGACAAGAGAACTACACTCTACTGTTATATAGACACAACCCCTACTGCTGACAAGAGAACTACACTCTACTGTTATATAGACACAACCCCTACTGCTGACAAGAGAACTACACTCTACTGTTATATAGACACAACCCCTACTGCTGACAAGAGAACTACACTCTACTGTTATATAGACACAACCCCTACTGCTGACAAGAGAACTACACTCTACTGTTATATAGACACAACCCCTACTGCTGACAAGAGAACTACACTCTACTGTTATATAGACACAACCCCTACTGCTGACAGGTAGACTTTACAGTTATATAAGTTTGATTGACCATCAATCCTCACCCAAGAATTTCCTCGACATACATTGTTTTGAATATTTTGTCCAAATTGGACCAACGAAATGGGATTAGATTAATCATGAAATTGATCAGCATGAATTGATCTGGTGTTACAGCAGAGTACACGGTAAAGTTACAGAGCAGACACAGAAACAGGATATCCATACCTCCCACATATACTCCCGTTTACCATACACAACAGCCTGGTCCTTGCGTTTGATGTCCTGTACACGGCTGTCATTAAGGTGCTGCTCCACAAGGAATCCCATAAATGAGTTGTCAGGGCTGTGGGCTGTTAATTATCAAACATTTTCACATGATCACCGACAGTTACAGGGCTGTGTGCCGTTATTTACAAAACAAGAGTTCCTCGGAATTGTATGTCTCACCCGCATAAAGTGTCACTGTCACCCAGAAATTGAACTGGATGTGCAACGTTCAACCAGAAATTTGTAATACCAAATTTCATTTCTATAACTCAAAGCATAAAGGAAAACTGCGTAAAGCAAAGAAAGCCATGAATCGAACCTTATCTGTAATGGTCGACCATGAAGCCATTTCTCATATTTCATTTCAAAAACTCTAAGCATAATCAAGAAAAGTACAAAAAACATATTTTCGAAGAATTTTCAAAGAGGCATAACTCTGCAGGAAGGGTCACAGACAGCCAAGAATCATTACTAATCTGTACCCTTCCAACAAGAAGCCATATACCAAATGTAATTTCTATAACTCAAAGCATAACCCAAAGAAAGTCCCAAAAACAATATTCCCAGAGATTTTCTAAGTTCATTACTTTGCCAAGAAGGGTGACAGACAGCCGGAAATCAAACTTAATATGTACCCTTCCAATAAGAAGCCATATACTGAATTTCATTTTAATAACTCAAAGCATTTCCGAAAAATGCCCGGACAACGTTTGTAAGGACACCGCCGACACGTGACGACTGACAAAGTGTTCCCTAAGTGTCCTCCAGATCTGCAGGCAAAACAGCAATGGTAAGTAACATGATCACTGACAGTTACAGGGGTGTGTGCCGTTATTTGCAAAACAATGGTCACATGATCACTGACAGTTACAGGGGTGTGTGCCGTTATTTGCAAAACAATGGTCACATGATCACTGACAGTTACAGGGGTGTGTGCCGTTATTTGCAAAACAATGGTCACATGATTACAGAGAGTTACAGGGCTGTGGGCCGTTATTTATAAAATAATGGTCACATGATCACTGACAGTTACAGGGATGTGGGCTGAAAACTATAAACAATGGTCACATGATCAGTGACACTTACAGGACTTTTGGCCGTCAATTATAAAACAATGGTCACATGATCAGTGACACTTACAGGACTTTTGGCCGTCAATTATAAAACAATGGTCACATGATCACTGACACTTACAATGGTCACATGATCACTGGCAGTTACAGGACTTTGGGCTGTCAATTTATGGTAACATGATCACTGACACTTACAACGGTCACATGATCACTGGCAGTTACAGGACTTTGGGCCGTCAATTTATGGTAACATGATCACTGACACTTACAATGGTCACATGATCACTGGCAGTTACAGGGCAATATAGAATCATTACTTACGGAACATGGTGAAGAACTGTTGTGGCTGTAGATTCTGGCCTCCCCAAAATGTCACTAGCTTGTGAGCTTTAGCATACACCCTGTGATTATAAGCTGGTTCTGTCCCAAATGAATCAACTATTCTCAGCAGACAGCTGTAAAACAACATCAATAACTTCCTCATTTATTTGAAAAGAATATGAATTGTTATCTTTATCTCTGTTCTAAGGCCAGAATTTTTTTTGTGAATTTTGATGTGTCAAACGTGTCAAGTCTATATTGCTCATCCATAACTATTTCTCTAACCCGACCTAATTAACACTGTGCGAACCATGTGATTCCATAATCTACCTTATAAAATCTCCTTTGTATTACAGAAAGTATATTCAACCTTGTGGTACCGTAATCTACCTTATAAAATCTCCTTTGTATTACAGAAAGTATATTTAACCTTGTGATTCCATAATCTACCTTATAAAATCTCCTTTGTATTACAGAAAGTACATTTAACCTTGTGGTACCATAATCTACCTAACAAGAGATTCCAGTGGGATCTTGGAGCCCACCATTTGAGGATCTGGTTTAGGTCTTGAAGATTTGTTTATTAATTTTTTTTGTTACAGGTGTTGTAAATGTTCATGAACTGGTCTTCATTGAATGTACTCAATGATGGCACAAGATGTTTTTATTAAGCACCTATTAGCAAATATCATTTGAAAAAGATCCCAAAGTATTATTAGATAGCAGTCAGTTACAGGTGGATAATGGACAATATGCTTGTGTTGTATTACTGTCGAAAAGGGAAACCAATATCTATGAAATATCAGAAGGATCCATCCAGTACTTCCTCAGAAATAGCAGTAACAAGATTTTACTCTCAAAATCCAAGATGGCTGCCCGTCAGCCACCTTGATTTTGGATCAGTCCAAAAAAGGTAAAATGCACAATTAGGGATGAAGGGGAATCAAGGATTTTCCCAGAAATAGCCATAACAAACTTACTTTCAAAATCCAAGATGGCCGTCTGTGGGCCATCTTGAATTTGAATCAGTCCAAAAAAGGAACACTGCACAACTAAGGACCAAGGGGAAGCTCCATATGAAATTTGACAAAGATCCATCCAGTACTTTCCAAGAAATAGCCGTAACAAACTTTTACTTTTAAAATAAAAGATGGCCACCTGTCGGCCATCTTGAATTTAAATCAGTCCAAAAAAGGTACAATGCACAATTAGGGACCAAGGGGAACCTACATATGAAATTTGAGAAAGATCCATCCAGTACTTTTCCAGAAAAAGCAGTAACAATGAAATTTGACAAAGATCCATCCAGTACTTTCTCCTTTGTATTAGAAATAGCCGTAACAAACTTTTACTTTTAAAATAAAAGATGGCCACCTGTGGCCATCTTTTGTATTATAGAAAGTACATCTAACCTTGTGGTAAGGTAATTTGCACAATAAAATCTCCTTTGTATTAGGGGAACCTACATATAAAATCTCCTTTGTATTACAGAAAGTACATCTAACCTTGTGGTGCCGTAGTACTTTTCTCCTTTGTATTATAGAAAGGTAACAAGAATTGTTTACAGAAGGAGGGACGGATGGACGGATGGTAGGCTAATAAAATCTCCTTTGTATTATAGAAAGTACATCTAACCTTGTGGTACCATAATTTTACCTAATAAAATCTCCTTTGTATTATAGAAAGTACATCTAACCTTGTGGTAGCATAACTTACCAAATAAAATCTCCTTTGTATTACAGAAAGTACATCTAACCTTGTGGTGCCGTAATTTTCCCTCATAAAATCTCCTTTGTATTATAGAAAGTACATCTAACCTTGTGGTGCCGTAATTTTCCCTCATAAAATCTCCTTTGTATTATAGAAAGTACATCTAACCTTGTGGTGCCGTAATTTTCCCTCATAAAATCTCCTTTGTATTATAGAAAGTACATCTAACCTTGTGGTGCCGTAATTTTCCCTCATAAAATCTCCTTTGTATTATAGAAAGTACATCTAACCTTGTGGTGCCGTAATTTTCCCTCATAAAATCTCCTTTGTATTATAGAAAGTACATCTAACCTTGTGGTGCCGTAATTTTCCCTCATAAAATCTCCTTTGTATTATAGAAAGTACATCTAACCTTGTGGTGCCGTAATTTTCCCTCATAAAATCTCCTCTTTATTACAAATAGCATATGGAACCTTATCCAATATACATTTAAGTTGCTTTGGTAATATTACTTTTCCTTACAAACAGGTTTATTTAGCTCATCCCCCTAAAAGCATTGTGTAAGGCTGTTATCCCTTAATTAGGTAGACCATGGTAAAACTGATCACACAAACAATCAACATTAAATCAATCAAATTTTTACTTGCTTTTTACTTACAACAACTTTGATGTCTTTTAAACAACATCAACGTGATGAAAACAATAAGAAACAGGTCAAAACATAATTACAATGTTGCCTGTATAAGTTTTAGAACAACAAGGATATATCCACTTGTGGATTGGCCATATGATCAGTACAAGTAAGACTAATTTTAACCATATCATAATTTCAAAGAGATTTTTTTTTGTGCAGCACTTTTCTAATTGTAGGTTTATTTACTTACTACACACCGAATATAAACAGGATATGAGTTCTCTAAAGTATACCACTAGTAAGGAGAGAGAGAAAGATAGAGGGAGAGAGAGAGAACACATCCAAATCACACAAATCATCATTAGACCTGCATGTATTATATAAGTTGTGTTTATATCATAAGAAATATCTAAAAATAAGATCTCAGAGGGATCTTGCTGCCCACCATTGTTTGATCTTTATTATCTATTGATCTTTGAAAGTTGGATTTTTTTCTTCTTTTCTCTTCTCTGTTTTTGCTCTTAGTGATAATAAATTTGAACATTCCTTTGCAGAATTAGCAATTTAGAAAATTAGAATTTAGCTGTAAAATCCAAGAGCAATCTATGTATGAAATTTAAGAGCGATCCATCAAGTACTTCTCAAAAATTAGTGATAAGAAATTTACTCAACGAAATTCAAGATTGCCGAATGTCAGCCATTTTGTTTTAAATCACTCCCAATATCAAATGGACACAAGTAGGAACCTAGGAGAACCTGTACATGAAATTTGAAAAAGATCTATTTAGTATAACGTAGTTCTCATGATGTAGCAATAACAAACTTTCAAAGTGAAAATCCAAAATGGCCGTTTGTCGGTCATTCTGTGTTTCTGATCAGACCCAAAATCATACAGGCACAACTAGGGACCGAGAGGAACATACAGTTGAAATTTGAGAAAGTTCCATCCAGAACTTCTAAAGAAATAGCGATGAACCATAGATATAGATCCATAAAAAGATCTGATTATTCTATAAGCTATGTGCAATTTTTATTTTACAAAATTTACAAACTTCACAAAATGGAAATAAAAACTAATTTACAATCGTGATATTATGTTCATAACTTTCAGTTTTTGTCTTTTTACTTTCCATCTTACATTTTACACGATTTCAAGACTCAATTTTAATGAGAAATATTTTATCTAGGAGGATTAAGAGATTAAACAAGGGTTACAAATTATTCTATTAACAGTGTGTATTAATTGGAACAGTAAGAACATCAACAACAGCTGTAGTAAGTGTAAGCAAATGAAAAGTCAATGAAATCAAACCACTGCAAAATGTGATGTTAGCAAAATATATAAACAGTACCACATTGGAAGAACTCTTCATACATCTGCAAGTAGGATATCAGCAAGATTGAGCAGAAATAAAACAACTATGACTTAAATGAATACAGAATGTCATGTCGAGAAATCATAACGGCTGATAAATGAGCTCCAGGATGTTGTACTTATAAGCAACTCTCTATTTTATATGAAAATGTAAACAAATTGAATCAATTATTACCAGTACAAAATTTATTGGAAACCTGTACAATTTTCATTACAGGGAGAGTGACTGTGGAAGGAAACATACTTAATTATTTGTATAGAATCAAAGTGTTGGTGAAGTGACAGCGGATAGATTATAGTCAAGACTACATGGAAGATTGTACATGGGGAGGAGTAAGGGGTAGGGGGTTGGGGGTGGTGTGGTGGGAGCTTAGCAGCAGTACATGAAAATGAATATATAGGGATGTACACTACTGGGAACAAGTTTAAGATTATGTTTATCGATAACTAAACATTTTGTATCTTCTTTTCTTGTATTTAGATGAAAAGGGAGATAGAAGTAGATCCTGATCAATTTTGTGGTTGGTGTGAGTTTGTGAAAGTGATCATATTAATTCATAGCTTTTACATCCAAAGAGTGATTTTACATTTATATATGACAATGATATTGAAATTTACACATATGGTTGGTGCTTTGCAATTCAATACAGCCTGTGTGTATAATGAAATTGAAACACTTAAAAAAAATGAATAAAGTTTAAATTGCATAAAAATAATTTTAGTTAAAACATAACTGACAAATTTTACATCAAACTAATTAAAGAAATTTCCATCCCTCATCAAAGGATTATCCTTAAATACAGAAATAGGAGTTACTTCATCTATCAATGATTTTGAAAACCTTGACCTTGAAAGTGCAGTCATGCGATAGCCCTTCATCCCAGATTCCAATATCACCCTATTCTATTATTAGCAGCATTTAACTACAGCACAGGATTCCCTCAACAAATTCACAGCTATATTCCTCCAGATACAATACAGGGACTCCCATTTACTATTGTTAGCAAGTATTAGCCCCCTTTCTAACACAAGAAGAATTTCCGGCGCACAGCGGACACGGCGCACGGCGGACGACGAGCATGATATCCTTCCCACAATAAAAATGAATAAAGTTTAAATTGCATAAAAATAATTTTAGTTAAAACATAACTGACAAATTTTACATCAAACTAATTAAAGAAATTTCCATCCCTCATCAAAGGATTATCCTTAAATACAGAAATAGGAGTTACTTCATCTATCAATGGAAAACCTTACATGCAGTTGCGATACAGAGATTCCCCTATTCTATTATTAGCAGCATTTCACTACAGCACAGGATTCCCTCAACAAATTCACAGCTATATTCCTCCAACACAGGGATTCCTTTAACACAGGAATTTCCTCAACATATCTAAAGCTATATCCTTCCACACAATACAAGGACTCCCTTAATCTATTATTAGAAGCATTTCACTACAGAACAGGGATTCCAGCGACATACCAACAGCCAAATCAATACATACAACACAGGGATTCCTTTACCAGTATTCTGTTAATAACAACCTTTAACTACAATACATGGATTCCCTTAATGTATTTAACTACAATACATGGATTCCCTTAATGTATTAATAGTCTTCGATGTAATACAGGGGGGATTCTTTTCATAGCAACATTTGACTTCAGATTTCCTTAATCTATAAATAGCAACATTTGACTTCAGATTTCCTTAATCTATAAATAGCAACCTTTAACTTAGGAATGACAGCTTCCCTTAAAGCATTAAAGGGATTTCCTCATTCTATTTATAACAACAAACACAAATATAACTACATAAAATCAATTTTTGAAATACAGTTTCCCTATTTTCAAACCATATTTTCAGTCACTAACAATTTCTCCAAAGTAACATAAAAGGACTTGTTGAAGTATCTTTTCCATGCCTTTTAACCTCTGCACCCTGAATCTGATCACAAGTCAGGATGGAAATGATAAGGAAATGTTTAGGAGATATATATATATAATCCATTACCTATATATGTAATCTGGACATAGCCATGCTGTATAACATGCTGAATATTTCTATTAACACCGAGTGAAGTATCTTCTGATGTGGTGTGAAGTTTTCACCAGGAATAAAACGAAGGCTATAAACTTACCCATGACTCCTTCCCATCAGAACAACATCAAAAATGTTAAAAAAATTACTTCCTAAAATTTGTAAAATGACTACTCCCTAATGTACATGAAATAATGACTTCCTAAAGATTCATATAATGATTACTCCCTACATTTAATACAATGATTACTCCCTAAAGTTCATAAAATGATTATTCCCTATAGTAAATACACTGAATGCTCTCCAAAGTTAATGAAATGACTACTCTCAAAGAGTTAATAAATTATTCCTTACAGTATATATAATGATTACTCTACTCCCTGAACTTCATTAAATGATTACTCCCTACATTTTATACAACGATTACTCTACTCTCTAATGTTCATAAAAATGATTACTCCCTTTATAATGATTATACAACAAAATTTATAAAATGATTACTCCCTACAATATTCCCCAAAATTTATAAAATGATTACTCCCTACAATTTATACAACAATTACTCTACTCCCTGAACTTCATTAAATGATTACTCCCTACATTTTATACAACGATTGCTCTACTCCCTGAACTTCATTAAATGATTACTCCCTACATTTTATACAACAATTACTCTACTCTCTAATGTTCATAAAAATGATTACTCCCTACAATTTATACTATGATTACTCTACTCCCCAAAATTTATAAAATGATTACTCCCTACAATACTCCCCAAAATTTATAAAATGATTACTCCCTACAATTTATACTATGATTACTCTACTCCCCAAAGTTTATAAAATGATTACTCCCTAGGACCAAGGGGCCTTTTATACTATGGTCACCTGAGGAAAGTTTATTTGTCCTTAAATAATATTTGGGATTTTAAAATGTTGCAAAAATGTAACAACACTTGTGCAGGACCATGTGTAAAACATCTGTACCAAGTTTGAACATGACCCATCCAATGGTTCTTGAGAGGAAGTCCATAATGTCTTAGCCAAACAGAGGTCAGGGTGGCCATCTTGGATTTTGAATCGCCCCAAAAAGTTAAAACACTTGCCAGGACCTTGTGTAGAACATTCGTATCAAGTTTCCCCTTTTTCCCCCTCCTGGGGCCCCTATTGGGGCCACGCCCTTTTTCTTTCCAAACTTGAAGCAGCTTCCCATGCAGATGCTTTGTGCCAAGTTTGGTCAATATCCCTCTACTGGTTCTTGAGAAGTAGTCATTTTATGAAGGTTTTTACATATGGCCCCTTTTACACCCCGTATGGGCCCCAAAGAGGACATAATCACTTTTTTCAACATAATGTCATATGTCCTTCACTAAGGGATGCTTTCTACCAAATTTGGTTGAAATCAGTCAAAATTGATTTTTTGACCCTTTTGAGTGCCCCCTAGCGGGGCCGTTTTTCACCCAATTTTTTTCATTCGCAAACTTGTAGACCTGGCCATAAGGACCCTCAATATAAAATATGAATTTAATCTGTCTTTTGGTTCATGAGAAGAAGATTTTTAAAGATTTACCTAATTTTCCCCCCTTTTTCTCCCCTCCTGCGGCCCCTATTTGAAGCGACTTCCCATGGGGATGCTTTGTGCCAAGTTTGGTCAAAATCCATCCAATGGGGCTTGAGAAGAAGTCATTTAAAGAAGGTTTTTACATATGGCCCCTTTTACACCCCTTATGGGCCCCAAAGGGGACATAATAACTTTTTTCAACATAACTTCATATGTTCTTCACTAAGGGATGCTTTCTACCAAATCTGGCTGAAATCGGTCAAAGTTGATTTTTTGACCCTTTTGAGTGCCCCCTAGTGGGGCCGTTTTTTACCCAATTTTTTTTTCATTCGCAAACTTTGTAGACCTGGCAATAAGGACCCTAAATATCAAATATGAACTTAATCTGACTGTTGGTTCATGAGAAGAAGATTTTTAAAGATTTACCTAATTTTACACCCTTTTCCCCCCTCCTTGGGGCCCCTATTAGGGCCATGCCCTTTTTCTTCGCAAACTTGAAGCGGCTTCCCATGGAGATGCTTTGTGCCAAGTTTGGTCAAAATCTATTCATTGGTTCTTGAGAAGAAGTCGAATATGTGGAAAGTTAACGAGGCATGACGCACGACGACAGACAAATCATGATGGTAATAGGTCACCATGAGCCTTCAGCTCAGGCGATCTATAAAATGAGTAATCCCTACAGTTTATACAATTATTTCTCCCTATAGTTTCAAAATGGCCACTTCCAAAAGTTTACAAACGGCAAAATAGATAACCATTAGTAAAAAATCAGGGTTTTTTTATTCTGAATGATTGAAATTATTTACAGCTAATCATTTGTAAATCAAGATATAAAATAACACTTCAGAGCCCATGAAAGTGGTAAAAGTCATCCTGATGATGACTACCTAGCGGTGGAAACATGTCAATAACATCACAATAAAGAAGATAACTGTTCTGATGTCAAGAAGATTTTAATTCCTCATATTAATTATGTAATTTGATCAAAGTAGATTATCGCTGTCTGTAATGAAAGAAGTGATGGTTCTCCTATCTTTAATAGTGTAATATCTAATGATTAATAATACAAGTGTAACAATGTGCAAATATTGATGTTTTAATTAGTGACACTGTTTAACTATATTTTAATTAATTGAATTGTTGCACTGCGTTCGTTGTACTATTATGTAATACTGTGTTGCGTGCGGCCACTGTTCCGTCTACCTGTACTGTCCTTGTAAGTGTTTGATGTCACGTGTCTTACTTTGTGTTGTCCATATATGGGTATTATTCCTAATAAAGGTATTACTTCGTTTTGGGTCAATGGTCAGTCCGGTTGTCTTTGTCTATGTTTGGCATGGTTTTTTATTAGTCCTTTGTGTGCAGACCTGGAGAGCGGACGTATAGTAGATCTAGACCTGTGTCCGCAAGATTTGAATCTTGGGTCTTGTAATTGGTTCTCCAGATATTTGGTATGTACGACAAAGTCTCAATCTAGCTGCTCTCGTAATTGGGTGTTGTAAATTATTGATTCATTTTATAATTGAGGGTTCAGATGAAGTAAAGTTAATTAATGTGTGAAATGGTGCTTTTCATAAAGTGACGTAATTGTGATCTCATGTACGTATATATGGATTGAAGTTATTTAAAATAACAGGTGAAATATACCTTTACATGTATTTTACAGATTGATGTAAGATCTACAATTAGTCCATGCACAGACCTTTTTCTGTCTGGCAAACCCCCGACCCATAGTTGGGGTAGGTATTTTAATAGATATTATATGTAGAATACGAGAGCTTGTGTAATTGATAATGTCAGTTATATTATGAGTAATTATGTAATAATGTAAGTTGTAAGCAGTTTCCTCTAGACCACGATCTACTTATATATACTAATAAGCGTAAAGCTGAGGCCTATTGGTGTGAATGTATTAAATATGTGTTTACTGGATGTACATCATGTTATGAATGTAGACAACGTTTCATTATGTAATTGATTATACTATGTCTTTGTAGGGTTTTAATTGTATTCTGTACAACATAGAATAAATGAAATAAGTCAGCACAGTACACGTCGTTGTTCTTTAAAAACTTGACAACTTTACACAAGTCAGGGGTGAATTTGTTACAGTTTGAATAATTATTCATAATAACAGTTAATTCAATAACTCATCAAAATAACTAATAATTCCAATATTTATAAAATGTAATATATAATCAATTACAAATCATATCTTATACATCGATAACTCTGTAGTCGCATCCACACAACAACAGTACAATATACCTGAATTTGGCATATCCACCTTTGACATGCTTCCTGAATTGTGTCAGACCTACGATATCAGTGTAAATGATGTGTACTGGCAGATCAGCTCGACTCTGACAGGGTGAATTAGCAGCAGGCAGCTTTGATAAAATTCTGAAAATAAAATAATGTGAAAAAAATAGGCAAGCCGAGCAGTGTATAATTGAGAACTCAAAATTTAATAATGTGTCTATGAATATATTTTTAATACAACAAAAGAGCTCAATATAACATTATTACAGGCCTGCAAATCATTCACTCACTCTGGGAAGTATGTAAGCATAAGGTGACATATAAGACCGATAATTATGATCTAATTTTCAGTTACTGAATGTCATATTGCTTGTGCAACTTTAAAGATTTTTTTTCTCTTTTTACCCACCCTTATTTTTTCATCAAAATGCATGTCAATAATAAATATTTAGTGTAAAATACTGTAATTAAGTCAGTATCACACATGTCTTTCAGTATGTGAGCTCTTTTGTTTCTATCATAAATAACATAAAAAAAGAGTTCTACAGCCATACTCAGATCACTGCATCTGTAATCAAAAGAAATAAAACTTTTCAGAAGCAACATGCAAACAATGCAAATGAACTTCCGGAGTCACTTTCATGCTTCACATTCAATGCATAACAGAGTGAAGAACAAACATTTATATGACAAAGATTTTTCTTAAAATATCTGGACTCCTGTATGAAATTTTCTTTTTATACTGACCGATGTTTGACTTCTCAGAATTTAATTAGGTGTTGATTTTGACATAAGATAAAGTGAAAATAATTCAAAGTACCTTCAATTCTAAAAAATCTTTCAGCATCCCTGTATCTTTGTTAACATTTCATCTGGGGTTTTGGACACTTAATATAACAATATTACTCTCCATATCTCAGGTAATTAATTTCATCATTCATTTGTCATATTTTTTAAAATTAAATTTTATTTCTTTAAAGATGGAATTATAAAATATATTAAAGTTAATTTTCATTTTAATCCAACACCAGATAAATTAATATAAGATTTAATCACTTTGAAGGGAGATAAATTTTACATACATTAGTTTTGCTATATTGCTTGTTTTAAATTCAATTATCTATATGACTGAAACGTGATAATTACATAAAGAAGCTGATTTACTATCATTTTGTCTTTCCTATCAATAATTACAGATGTGGATCTATAAACCTGGTGTTACCGATATGTGTCTTGATGAATCTGAATTCTTTAGACGGTGAAATAAGGTGCATTTTTGAAAACTACAAATTACATGTACACCACAATTATTTGACCCCTGACTTTACCGACATTTAGATTTAGACAGGTTTCCATGACTACTATGAAATAGCTTTGTCTAAACTCCATCTTTACTAACTCGTGACCATACTAACTGACAATAATATATATACTTATATAATGTGCCAGTAAAGTCAGGTTTCATCAGATCAAACAACTTGTGGATAAAGAGTGAAAATTGATGAAGACATTCTCCAGAACAAACCGAAAACGTTCAGATGGTGAGTTGGAGCTTCCTGTTTTAGTATTAACCGACCGAAATTTCTGAGCCGGTTTTCTAGTCAGTATTTTTTTCATCTGTAGATATCCACGCAGGTCTGTATAAATGAGGTCAAACTTTGAGGCCCCAACCTGGCATTTCTTGGGAATGGAGCCCTCACTAACAACGCTGAAAAGTAATCAGTCTCCCTTAAAATGCTGAAGAGTATTCAATGCTTATTCTGAATCTTCATTTCTACAAATCACAAATATTTATAATTCATTTCATTTGATAGGTTTTGTTAACACAAGTAACAGATGACCTGAAGGTATAGTCACCATCATTTGATACAGGATCATGATTGACACCTACATGAAAGATTCACATTTTACTTCTGCAAATTGATGATGAAACACTTACAAATCACAATTTTGCTATACAGGTGTATAACACACTTACAAATCACAATTTTGCTATACAGGTGTATAACACACTTACAAATCACAATTTTGCTATACAGGTGTATAACACACTTACAAATCACAATTTTGCTATACAGGTGTATAACACACTTACAAATCACAATTTTGCTATACAGGTGTATAACACACTTACAAATCACAATTTTGCTATACAGGTGTATAACACACTTACAAATCACAATTTTGCTATACAGGTGTATAACACACTTACAAATCACAATTTTGCTATACAGGTGTATAATACACTTACAATGATAAGTACACTACAAACATAATTTTATATTTTTGTGTGAGTGTGACTAAATCTATGAATTTATATTTCTATGAACTGTTACATTCAGTACAAGTGTCTGTATTGAGCTATATTAAACACCCATCAAGTCAAATGTCTACAAAATAGGGATTTGTTGAAAACCCAAGAAAATTAAATCCGACTAAACTATAAGATTTTGCAGTATACATAGTCACACTAAGGTGTCACAAAACTGCCACCAGTAGAATAATATTGCAAGACTCTAAACTTTGACTGGAAACTGAATTAATTTTTTCATTAACAAAATTTCAGAAACAAATAAAATCCCAACATAGGAATACAGTTTTAAAAAGTGAAAAGCAAAGCACCACTGCAAACCCTGACCACCTTAAGTAAAAGTCCTCACATTGAGGTATCTGACCACCTTATGTAAAAGTCCTTACATTGAGGTATCTCACCACCTAGAGGAGTGACAAGTAAAAGTCCTTACATTGAGGTATCTGACCACCTGGAGGAGTGAAAAGTAAAAGTCCTTACATTGAGGTATCTGACCACCTGGAGGAGTGAAAAGTAAAAGTCCTTACATTAAGGTATCTGACCTCCTGGAGGAGTGACAAGTAAAAGTCCTTACATTGAGGTATCTGACCACCTTATGTAAAAGTCCTTACATTAAGGTATCTGACCTCCTGGAGGAGTGACAAGTAAAAGTCCTTACATTGAGGTATCTGACCACCTGGAGGAGTGAAAAGTAAAAGTCCTTACATTAAGGTATCTGACCTCCTGGAGGAGTGACAAGTAAAAGTCCTCACATTGAGGTATCTGACCACCTTATGTAAAAGTCCTTAGGAGTGACAAGTAAAAGTCCTTACATTGAGATATCTGACCACCTGGAGGAGTGAAAAGTAAAAGTCCTTACATTGAGGTATCTGACCACCTGGAGGAGTGAAAAGTAAAAGTCCTTACATTGAGGTATCTGACCACCTGGAGGAGTGAAAAGTAAAAGTCCTTACATTAAGGTATCTGACCTCCTGGAGGAGTGACAAGTAAAAGTCCTTACATTGAGGTATCTGACCACCTTATGTAAAAGTCCTTACATTAAGGTATCTGACCTCCTGGAGGAGTGACAAGTAAAAGTCCTTACATTGAGGTATCTGACCACCTGGAGGAGTGACAAGTAAAAGTCCTCACATTGAGGTATCTGACCACCTGGAGGAGTGACAAGTAAAAGTCCTTACATTGAGGTATCTGACCACCTAGAGGAGTGACAAGTAGAAGTCCTCACATTGAGATATCTGACCACCTGGAGGAGTGACAAGTAAAAGTCCTTACATTGAGATATCTGACCACCTTAAGTAAAAGTCCTCACATTGAGGTATCTGACCACCTGGAGGAGTGACAAGTAAAAGTCCTCACATTGAGATATCTGACCACCTGGAGGAGTGACAAGTAAAAGTCCTCACATTGAGATATCTGACCACCTTAAGTAAAAGTCCTTACATTGAGGTATCTGACCACCTGGAGGAGTGACAAGTAAAAGTCCTTACATTGAGATATCTGACCACCTTAAGTAAAAGTCCTCACATTGAGGTATCTGACCACCTGGAGGAGTGACAAGTAAAAGTCCTTACATTGAGGTATCTGACCACCTAGAGGAGTGACAAGTAAAAGTCCTTACATTGAGGTATCTGACCACCGTAAGTAAAAGTCCTCACATTGAGGTATCTGACCACCTGGAGGAGTGACAAGTAAAAGTCCTTATATTGAGGTATCTGACCACCTGGAGGAGTGACAAGTAAAAGTCCTTATATTGAGGTATCTGACCATCTGGAGGAGTGACAAGTAAAAGTCCTTACATTGAGGTATCTGACCACCTGGAGGAGTGACAAGTAAAAGTCCTCACATTGAGGTGACCACCTTAAGATATCTGACCACCTGGAGGAGTGAAAGTAAAAGTCCTTACATTGAGGTATCTCACCACCGGAGGAGTGACCACCAGGAGAATCTGACCACCTTAAGTAAAAGTCCTCACATTGAGGTATCTGACCACCTGGAGGAGTGACAAGTAAAAGTCCTCACATTGAGGTATCTCACCACCGGAGGAGTGACAAGTAAAAGTCCTCACATTGAGATATCTGACCACCTTAAGTAAAAGTCCTTACATTGAGGTATCTGACCACCAGGAGGAGTGACAAGTAAAAGTCCTTACATTGAGGTATCTGACCACCTGGAGGAGTGACAAGTAAAAGTCCTTACATTGAGGTATCTGACCACCTGGATGAGTGACAAGTAAAAGTCCTCACATTGAGGTATCTGACCATCTGGAGGAGTGACAAGTAAAAGTCCTTACATTGAGGTATCTGACCACCTGGAGGAGTGACAAGTAAAAGTCCTCACATTGAGGTATCTGACCACCGTAAGTAAAAGTCCTCACATTGAGGTATCTCACCACCTTAAGTAAAAGTCCTCATATTGAGGTATCTGACCACCTGGAGGAGTGACAAGTAAAGTCTTCATATTGAGGTATCTTGCCAACAAGGTCAGTTTCTGTCCTCCATAATGTTTCCAGTAAAAACTGAGGATCTAATGGACAAATTATCCAAAACTACATCCAAACTTACTTGTGGCCACAATAACCTGAGGAAAAACCCAAACTTACTTGTGGGCACAAGAACCTGAGGGAAAACCCAAACTTACTTGTGGGCACAAGAACCTGGGGAAAAACCCAAACTTTCTTGAGGGCACAACAACCTGAGGAAAAACCTAAACTTACTTGTGGGCACAACAACCTGAGGAAAAACCTAAACTTACTTGTGGCCACAACAACCTGAGGAAAAACCTAAACTTACTTGTGGCCACAACAACCTGAGGGAAAAACCAAACTTATTTGTGGGCACAAGAACCTGAGGAAAAAACCTAAACTTACTTGTGGGCACAAGAACCTGAGGGAAAAACCAAACTTACTTGTGGGCACAACAACCTGAGGGAAAAACCAAACTTACTTGTGGGCACAAGAACCTGAGGAAAAACCTAAACTTACTTGTGGGCACAATAACCTGAGGAAAAACCTAAACTTACTTGTGGCCACAACAACCTGAGGAAAAACCCAAACTTTCTTGAGGGCACAACAACCTGAGGAAAAACCTAAACTTATTTGTGGGCACAAGAACCTGAGGAAAAACCTTAACTAACTTGTGGGCACAAGAACCTGAGGAAAAACCTAAACCTACTTGTGGGCACAAGAACCTGAGGGAAAACCTAAACTTACTTGTGGGCACCTGAGGAAAAAGTAACATGAAACTTTCAGTCTTATAAAACCTTCTGTAAAATCATTCATTTGGATGATTTATTTTCATTTCAATTTAAATTTAATAACTCTAAAGATAAAAAGTTGAAATGGATTACAGCACTAGTGGACTTTGTGAGCGAAGTTGATCTACATAATCAACTGCCAGTGAAAAAGTATTTTCTTTTGAAAACCATGAAATTTGAATCCCATACAAGAGATCCCAGAGGGATCTTGGCACCCACCATTTGAGAATCTGTTTTCAGTTCTTGAAGATTTGTTTATTTTTTTTTTTGTGTGTTACAGGTGTTGTAAATGTTCATGAACTGGTCTTCAATGAATGTACTCAATGATGGCACAAGATATTTTTATTAAGCACCTATTAGCAAATATCATTTGAAAAAGATCCCAAAGTATTATTCGATAGCAGTCAGTTACAGGTGGATAATGGACAATATGCTTGTGCTGTATTACTGTCGACATCCAAGATGGCTGCCTGTAGGCCACCTTGATTTCAAATAAGTCCAAAAAAGGTACAATGCACAACTAGGGACCAAGGGAAACCAATATCTATGAAATATCAGAAGGATCCATCCAGTACTTCCTCAGATATAGCAGTAACAAGATTTTACTCTCAAAATCCAAGATTGCTGCCTGTCAGCCATCTTGATTTCGGATCAGTCTAAAAAGGTATAATGCACAACTTGGAACCAAAGGGAACCTGCATATGAAATTTGAGAAAGATCCATCCAGTACTTTCAAAGAAATAGCAGTAACAAACTTTTACATTCAAAATCCAAGATGGCCACCTGCCTGCCATCTTGAATTCGAATCAGTCCAAAAAAGGTATAATGCACAACTAGGGACCAAGGGGAAACTGCATATGAAATTTGAGGAAGATCCATCCAGTACTTTCTCAGAAATAGCGGTAACAAACTTTTACTTCCAAAATCCAAGATGGCCACCTGTCGGGGACCATGCATATGAAATTTGAGGAAGATCAGTCCAAAAAAGGTACAATGCACAACTAGGGACCAAGGGGAAACTGCATATGAAATTTGAGAAAGATCCATCCAGTACTTTTCCAGAAATAGCGGTAACAAACTTTTACTTCCAAAATCCAAGATGGCCACCTGTCGGCCATCTTGAATGCTAATCAGTTCAAAAAAGGTACAATGCACAACTAGGGACCAAGGGGAACCTGCATATGAAATTTGAGAAAGATCCATCCAGTACTTTTCCAGAAATAGCGGTAACAAACTTTTACTTCCAAAATCCAAGATGGCCACCTGTCGGCCATCTTGAATGTGAATCAGTTCAAAAAGGGTACAATGCACAACTAGGGACCAAGGGGAAACTGCATATGAAATTTGAGGAAGATCCATCCAGTACTTTCTCAGAAATAGCGGTAACAAGAATTGTTTACGGACGGACGGACGGACAGACGGACCACGGACGCAGGGCGATTTGAATAACCCACCATCTATTTGAATAGATGGTGGGCTAAAAATATGTATGATAGCGAATGAAATAAAAAAAAAAAATCTGGAGAAAATTTATCCTTGAGAATTATATTATGAGAGAGAACTCTGTAAAAAAGATTGAACCATCTTAGAAAATTAACTGTTTTAAATGCTTCATTAATATGACAGAATGGCCTGGAGTGTGTCATGCTTTTCTGTAAATGTTAAAATATTCATCATGTTTCATTAACATTCTTTTCTGTACATGATAATATTTTGTGGTGTTATACAAATGTTGAAATTGTTCCATAATTAAAACACTCACACATCAAAAATGAATGACTAAACCATTTATAATCATACATGTATGAACAGATTTTGTACCGTTATCAACACCAATCATATTCCTCGTCAAACAGAAAGGGTTCAACTTTAATTTCTACTACAAGAAAAAGAAATTCACATGTACTGGAAACAGTTTAAAATCAAAATCTGGAATGTAAAGGATTGAGATAAAGCAATATTTTGTACCAATATTACTGTTTTATATTGCACTGACAGCTGGTCAATAGTTACAGTAATGCCATGTCTCTATATAAACCCCTCACAACTCCTCAACTCATACACTGTAAAGAAAATGGCCAAATGTGTCAAGTTTGTGAGGAAGGTACTATAGCACTGACAAGGACTTTCTAACGAGAGATCCCAGAAAGATCTCCCAGTCCATCATCCTTACATCTTCCTTATTCTCATCATTCCCATTTTCTTTCCTCTTCCATTCACTTATTTTCTCTGAACAATAACAGCAACAAACCCAAATCTTCATACCTACACGATGATCCCTCTGGTCTTTCAGAATATAGTAATAACAAATTATAACTGACAAATTCCAAGATGCTCGCCATTTTGGTTTTTTCATCAGCCCAAAAATGTATAACCATTGTGTGATCTTTATTATTTCTTTAGAAGTTGGATTCCCCTTGCTTTTTGAAGTTTTCTTTCCTTTGTGTTTGATTTTAATCATAAGAAATTTAAAATCTGTCGTGAGAGGTACCAAGCCCCCTACATCGCTTCCCCGATATCTGTAGTAAAGGGTAACAAGTCCCTCAAATCCCTTTTCTGACATCAGTCGTGAGAGGTAACAAACCTCCTACATCACTTCCCCAATATCTGTTGTTAAGGGTAACAAATCCCTCAAATCCCCTTTCTGACATCAGTCGTGAGAGGTAACAAACCCCCTACATCACTTCCCCGATATCTGTTGTTAAGGGTAACAAGTCTCTCAAATCCCCTTTCTGATATCTGTTGTTAAGGGTAACAAGCCTCTCAAATTCCCTTTCTGACATCAGTTGTGAGAGGTAACAAGCCCCCTACATCACTTCCCCTATATCTGTCATTGAGGGTAACAAGCCCCTCACACACCCCCTCCGACATCTGTTGTTGAGGTAACAAGCCCCTCACATCATCTCCCAGACATCGGTCATGAGGGGTAAAAAATAAAACACCCTACATCACCTGTTGTTAAGGGCAAGAAGCCCATTACATATCCTCCCCGACATCTGTCATTAGGAGTAACAATGTTATACCTACCCTGCCAGCTGGTCGGTCTCACTAGTTACAATGATGTCATGCCCCAGTATAAACAATGTAGACAGAAGATCACTCCATTGCACAAGTTCCCCTAATGGGCCTCCTGTTAAAACATCAATAGATATTTTATAGATTTTCATTCATAAGTTCCCCTTATGGGCCTCCTTTAAAACATCAATGAATATGTTACAGCTTTTCATTCTTAAATGTTGTACATAAAATCATAATTTTTCCAAACTTTTTCGGGTTTCATCCTAGGAACACACCAGTCAAATATCATGCCTCAAGGTGTATTAATTTATAAGAAGTTATCTACAGGTTTTAACAAATCTGACTTATGTGACCTTGAATATATGTCAAGGTCATTTCTTTTCACAAACTTTGTCAGGTTTCATCCTAGAAACATACCAGCCAAATATCAAAAGACTTGGTCCATTGGTTATTTAGAACAAGGTTTTTCAAAGGAAAAATTTGACGCCGGATGACAGACAACAGATGAATATCAATGAGCCAAATTCCAGTAAAAATTTCAAACAAATCTGATTATTGGAGAATTTTACCTTTAAATTGATTTTCAGCGATGCCCCAGCCACACTGTTTCGAACTACAGACTAGGATATTTGACCTTTAAATTGATTTTCAGCGATGCCCCAGCCACACTGTTTCGAACTACAGACTAGGATATTTTACCTTTAAATTGATTTTCAGCGATGCCCCAGCCACACTGTTTCGAACTACAGACTAGGATATTTGACCTTTAAATTGATTTTCAGCGATGCCCCAGCCACACTGTTTCGAACTACAGACTAGGATATTTTACCTTTAAATTGATTTTCAGCGATGCCCCAGCCACACTGTTTCGAACTACAGACTAGGATATTTTACCTTTAAATTGATTTTCAGCGATGCCCCAGCCACACTGTTTCGAACTACAGACTAGGATATTTTACCTTTAAATTGATTTTCAGCGATGCCCCAGCCACACTGTTTCGAACTACAGACTAGGATATTTTACCTTTAAATTGATTTTCAGCGATGCCCCAGCCACACTGTTTTGAACTACAGACTAGGATATTTTACCTTTAAATTGATTTTCAGCGATGCCCCAGCCAGACTGTTTCGAACTAGAGACAAGGATATTTTACCTTTAAATTGATTTTCAGCGATGCCCCAGCCAGACTGTTTAGAGAGCAGACCCAGATGGACCAATATCTGAAATCAAGACATAAAGTTTCCAATGACAAAATTTCCAACTTTGTGAAGATGAGTCAACTTGGACAAATTAACTGTAAGGTAAGGGAATCATGTGCTATATCAAGTCTATGTCACAGGATTTTTTCAATATTTTAAACTCCAAAATGCCGTAAATCACTTAACTGTTTTTTGTTATCCTTTAAGCTGTTTCCTGATATTAAGGCACATGGGCAAAGTCCTATTCAATAGTTCTTTACATTAATAACTAAAATTTCCTGAAGCAAACAAGCTGTTCTGTATTCATTTATATTTCTAACTTCCTGAGGCTAAAGGCACATGTGTGAATTCCTATTCTGAATCTTGATAACTTTTCCTTGATGTAAATCAGTAGTTAAGTCCAGTAATGTTCAGTGATAAATATTGTTGATGTTTGAGATGCTAGGGGAGCATTCAACAACCTATGTAAACACATACAGGGCCTATAGGCCTCTTGCCTGACATACTGACATACTGCAAAGGTTGTTACATTCATTGCTCAATCACATTTGTTGCCATTAAGTCAGAAGTGTTAAATCAACAAGTATGTCAGAACAAGAGGCCCATGGGCCTTAACGGTCATCTGACAAAAAGCAAGCCAAACTCTAACAACAGTGAGTCTGCTGTTAAAACAGTGGGCTTTATTCATTGAATAACCTTGGTAGCCCTTCCTTCCAGCATCCTACAGGCCCAATATCAGCACTCTGAGCCTTTTGGTTACTGAGAAGAAGTCGTTTACAGATTTTAACATATTTGAACCCTGTGATCTTGAAAGTGGGTCAAGGTCATTCACTTGAACACATTTGGTAACACTTCCTCAAAGCATCCTACAGGCCCAATATCAGCACTCTAATCATTTTGGTTATTGAGAAGTCATTTGCATATTTTAACATATCTAACCCCTGTGACCTTGAAAGTGGGTCAAGGTCATTCATTTGAACAAATTTGGTAGCATGTCATCCCAGCATCCTACAGGTCCATTATCAGCACTCTTGGACTTTTGCTTATTGAAGAGAAGTTGTTTGTATATTTTAACATATTTGACCCCTGTGACCTACAAAGTGGGTCGTGGTCATTAATTTCAACAGACTTTGTAGGGCTCCATGCCAGCATGCTATGGGCCAAGTATTAGCCCCCTAGGCCTTCTAGTATTTGAGAAGAAGTTTTTTGAATGAAAAGTTTACGGACGACAGGGACTGTATTACTTGCTAGGTGAAAATGTTTAAAGAAAAAAGAATTCTCAAGGTTTTTACCTTATTACCCACTGCCATGACCGCTTTGCTTCACCCACTGGCAACACCCCTCTGCCTCACCCACTAGCCACAACCCTCTGCCTCTCCCACTGACCTCACCATCTGCCTCACCCATTTGCATCACCCCTCTGCCTCACCCACTTGCCTTACCCTCGGTCTCACCCAATGGCCTCATCCCTGTGCCTCACCCCTCTGCCTCGCCCACTTGCCTAACCCCTCTGCCTCTCCCACTGGCAACATCCATCTGCCTCACCTCTCTGCCTCACCCACTGGCCACATCCATCTGCCTCACCTCTCTGCCTCACCTACTGGCTTCACCTCTCTGCCTCACCCACTGGCAATATCCCTCCGTACACACCTCACCCACTGGCCACATCCCTCCGCGCATACCTAGCCCACTGACCTCACTCACTTGCCTGACCCCTCTGCCTCACCCACTGGCCACATTCCTCTGTGCACACATGTCCCACTTGCATCACCCCTCTGCCTCTCCCACTGGCCTCACCCTCTGCCACACCCACTGGCCTAACCACTCTGCCTTACCCACTGGCCTCACCATCTGCCACACCCACTGGCCTAACCCCTCTGCCTTACCCACTGGCCTCACCCTCTGCCTCACCCACTGGCCTAACCCCTCTGCACATGCCTCATCCACTGGCCTCACCCACTGACCTCACCCTCTGCCTCATCCACTGGTCTTACCCACATGCCTCTCCTAATTGCTCTGCCTCATCTTCTGGCCTTACCAACTGGCCTTACCCTCTGCCTCACCCACTGGCCTCACCCATTTGCACATGCCTCACCCACTGGCATCACCCCTCTGTCTCACCCACTCGCCTAACCCCTCTGCCTTACCCATTGACCTCAGCCCTTTGCCCCGAGGGAGTAAGTAAAACCATTAAACTACAGTCTCATTTCTCAAAAATTGCTTCAGACCAAATGGAAATCAAGGCATTCCTAGCAAAAAAGAAGGATTTATATAATTTCATTTACTTTCCCTATCATGACCTGCCTCTCCTGCCCCAGGGAGATGAAACCTGCTGTTTAAAAGGAGGCCTCAGACCAAATTGAGACAAAATTCAGACAATCCTACAGAAGAAGAAAGATTTTAAATAAATTGCTCTATTTCCCCTATTGGGCCTTCAAGGTGAGCTGAAATTGGAATCACTTTTTTCTGTATTATTTTCACAGAATTTTTTTTACAAAATTTAAAAATAAAGGAAACCTTTTTACGTCTCCTACCACCCAGGTTCTGTTTCTTGGTAAGTCTGGTGATCCCTCCTGTCCACTTGTCCCACAGTCGTCGTATTCTCATCCTAATCCATGCATAACTCTGTCGCTCATTAGGATCCACTAAAATTTTCATCAGTGCTTGTAAGTCTGTGGTAACATTTGCCTGTAAAACAACATCATACCAGCCTCTAGAACAATACGGTTTGTTTATAATCACAGCTTGAAACAACATCCATTTTGATCATGAATATATCACATTTTGTTCATATATTTACCCTTCCTGATCTGAGTTTGTAAATCTGATTTTAGACTTGCAGTCTGACCTGGCAATATATTATCAATTTTCAGTCATGGAAATGAATTCACAAACTCATTTTAAAGACAAGAGTTCCTCGGAACTGTATGTGTCACCTGCATTAAGAGTCAAGGTCACCCAGAAATTGAACTGGATGTGCAACGATCAACCATAAAGTTGTAACACCAAATTTCATGTCTATAACTTGAAGCATAAAGGGAAAACTGTGCAAAGCAGTATTCCTGAGAAGTTCAAAGGGACCTATCACTGCCAAGAAGGGTTACAGACTGCAAAGAAGCGAACTCGGTGCATAACTTTTGACCAAGAACTCATATACAAAATTGCATTTTCATAACTTGAAGCAAAACCAAGAAAATCCTAGAAAACAATATTCCCAGAATTTTCTAAGGTCAAAGGGGCATAACTCAGCCAGGAAGGGTCACAGATAGCATATAGCAAATGTCATTTCTGTAACTCAAAGCATAAGCCAAGAAAGTCAAAAAAACAATATTCCCAGAGAATTTTCTAAGTTGAAAGGGGCATAACTCTGCCAAAAAGGGTCACAGACAGCCGGGAATCGAACGTAATCTGTACCCTTGCAACAAGAAGCCATATACCAAATTTCATTTTGATAACTCAAAGCATAAGTTAAAAAAGTCCGGAAAACATTAATCCCAGGAAATTTTCTAAGTTGAAAGGGGCATAACTCTGCCAAAAAGGGTCACAGACAGCCGGGAATCGAACTTAATCTGTACCCTTGCAACAAGAAGCCATATACCAAATTTCATTTCGATAACTCAAAGCATAAGTTAAAAAAGACCGGAAAACATTAATCCCAGGAAATTTTCTAAGTTGAAAGGGGCATAACTCTGCCAAAAAGGGTCACAGACAGCCAGGAATCAAAGTTAATCTGTACCCTTGCAACAAAAAGCCATATGCCAAATTTCATTTTGATAACTCAAAGCATTACCGAAAAAAGTCCGGAAAACTTTTGTACGGACAACAACGACGCCAACAATGCGTGATGACGGACAAAGTGATCCTTAAGTGTCCGCCAGCTCTGCAGGCGACACAAAAACTAACTTTACCATCTGAACATTAGCATACAAATCTAACTTTCCCACCTGAAATATAAACATACGTATCTAAATTTCACACCTGGATATAAACATACATATCTAACTTTCCCACCTGGATATAAACACACATATCTAACTTTCCCACCTGGATATAAACACACATATCTAACTTTCCCACCTGGATATAAACACACATATCTAACTTTCCCACCTGGATATAAACACACATATTTAACTTTCCCACCTGAAATATAAACACACATATCTAACTTTCCCACCTGGATATAAACACACATATTTAACTTTCCTACCTGAAATATAAACACACATATCTAACTTTCCCACCTGGATATAAACACATATCTAACTTTCCCACCTGGATATAAACACACATATCTAACTTTCCCACCTGGATATAAACACACATATCTAACTTTCCCACCTGGATATAAACACACATATCTAACTTACCCACCTGGATATAAACACACATATCTAACTTTCACACCTGGATATAAACACACATATCTAACTTTCCCACCTGGATATAAACACACATATCTAACTTTCACACCTGGATATAAACACACATATCTAACTTTCCCACCTGGATATAAACACACATATCTTACTTTCCGACCTGGATATAAACACACATATCTAACTTTCCCACCTGGATATAAACACACATATCTAACTTTCACACCTGGATATAAACACACATATCTAACTTTCCCACCTGGATATAAACACACATATCTAACTTTCCAACCTGGATACAAACATACATATCTAACTTTCCCACCTGAAATATAAACATACAAATCTAACTTTCCAACCTGGATATAAACATACATATCTAACTTTCACACCTGGATATAAACACACATATCTAACTTTCACACCTGGATATAAACACACATATCTAACTTTCCCACCTGGATATAAACACACATATCTAACTTTCCCACCTGGATATAAACATACAAATCTAACTTTCACACCTGGATATAAACACACATATCTAACTTTCCCACCTGGATATAAACACACATATCTAACTTTCCAACCTGGATATAAACACACATATCTAACTTTCCCACCTGGATATAAACACACATATCTAACTTTCCCACCTGGATATAAACTTACATATTTAACTTTAGACATGTCCTCTTTTGGTGGTTTAATGTTTCCTCGCCAGGCCTTTGTAGGACACCAACCTTCAATCTGTGCAGAAAAGAGCATGACACACTGTGAAATAACATCAATCTGACATCAATAGTTTCAAATAAAAACTAACTTAATTACTACAGGGTTCGAAACCCTCAGAGTGAAAAGAAGGAAGGAAAAAACAATAATGTTATATGTAAGAAACAAGAGGCCCAAGGGGCCTTAACGGTCACCTGAGGAATATATGTCAATAATCTGGGGATATTAAAATGTTACAAAAATGTAACAACACTTGTGCAGGACCAAGTGTAAAACATCTGTACCAAGTTTGGACATGACCCACCCAATGGTTCTTGACAAGAAGTCAATAATGTCTTAGCCAAACAGAGGCCTGGGTGGCCATCTTGGATTTTGAATTGCCCCAAAAAGTTAAAACACTTGCCAGGACATTGTGTAGAACATTTGTATCAAGTTTCCCCTTTTCCCCCCTCCTGGGGCCCCTATTGGGGCCACACCCTTTTTCTTCACACACTTGAAGCGGCTTCCCATGGGGATGCTTTGTGCCAAAGTTGAATTTTTGACCCTTTTGAGCACCCCCTAGTGGGGCTGTTTTTTTTTTCATTTGCAAACTTTGTAGACCTTGCCATAAGGATCCTAAATATCAAATATGAATTTAATCTGACTGTTGGTTCATGAGAAGATCTTTAAAGATTTACCTAATTTTACCCCCTTTTCCCCCCTCCTGGGGCCCCTGTTTGGGCCATGCCCTTTTTCTTCGCAAACTTGAAGCAGCTTCCCATGGGGATGCTTTGTGCCAAGTTTGGTCAAAATCCATTTGGTGGTTCTTGAGAAGAAGTTGAATATGTGAAAAGTTAACAACGCACGACGACAGACAAATCATGATGCCAATAAGTCACCATGAGGCTTTGGCTCAGGCGACCTAAAAAAAAACTAACTGAAACATTTCAATTCTATGGCTGAATGAAGAAGGACAACCAAATTAGTAGGGGCTGGATAGCGGGACAACCAGATTAGTGGTGACTGGATAGTGGGACAACCAGATTAGTGGTGACTGGATAGTGGGACAACTAGATTATATGGGACTGGATAGTAGGACAACTAGATTAATGGTGACTGTATAGTGGGACAACCAGATTAGTGGGGACTGGATAGTGGGACAACTAGATTAGCGGTGGCTGGATAGTGGGACAACCAGATTAGTGGTGACAGCATAGTGGGACAATCAGATTAGTGTTGGCAGGACAGTGGGACAACCAGATTAGTGGTGACTGGATAGTGGGACAACCAGATTAGTGGTGACTGGATAGTGGGACAACTAGATTAGTGGTGACTGGATAGTGGGACAACCAGTTTAATGGGGACTGGATATCGGGATAACCAGATTAGTGGTGACTGGATAGTGGGACAACCAGATTAGTGGTGACTGGATAGTGGGACAACCAGATTAGCTATATATCCTCAAAATACCAAATATCTTGACTTACCTCACTTAAATACATAACAAAAGAACATATGGATCCATCCACTCCATAAGACTTGTAACAAGGATCTGACTTCCACATCGCCTTCATCCACTGAAAAACCATAAAAAAGATTGTATTAAATCAAAATATTAAAGCCTCTTCATACAAATTAAATATTTGGAGAAATAATGACAAAAAAAATCACAAAAGTGCACAAAAGGAAAAACTACGACTGAAAAGCATTCTTTATTTAAAAGTTAGGAGTAGCATCACAGTATGGATACAACTGTTCTCTCTGTTCTAATCTACACAGCTGTAGTGTTGGAAAGTGAACATAGGAAGTACACAATGATGGTCTGGCACAATATACTGATATTTAAAAACGTGTTAATAATAAGCTTTCTCTTATGTACCAATATCAATATCTGGAGAACTGTTCACATGAAAACAGACATGTTTCTTTACCAGATACATCTACTTTAATAGGACTGCTCAAGTCTACACAGATAAAAGTAAAAGACCTGTGTCTTGTTCTTACTTCTATCTTTGTAGTACAGTGCGGGTACAACTGTTTCTCCTGTGTAGTGAGATCACACTGTTCCCCTTTCCCTTGAATCAAATCTGAAAGAAAGAAGACATTTCAAAGTTTGAAACAGAAACAAAGTTAAATCTGGCAAGTGTTATTATTTATGAATATTTTGAAGTTGTGTAAGACAGATAGGAAACGAAATGATTTTCAAAGTAGTTGAATATCTATATTTAAATTCATGCTTTTCAAAAGTGAATTAGAATCTGATGTATCTTGTATTAAGTAAACCACAAAAGAGCCACCTTAACAATAACATTACTAACCATAATATCTACAGCATGACGATTAATGATTCTTTTATATCTTTATATATAAAAAGAGATATGTTTTGAAATTGACTTTCATTTCAATATTTTTTTCATCTTATTACGGTTTTTATAGCTTTATCACCAAACACAATGTCTTGGGCAACTAACTAGATGCAAAAAGCAGTCAGTACATACTGAGTAAGTCATGTGACTGTCACATGATTGTCATGTGAGACTACTACAATACAAACACTAGGTCACTATATCTTGCACTCCATTATCAATATTTTTTGTTAAAATTACACACAGAAAGGGCATTCTTTTAAATGGATAAAAAATATTGTACATTCTCCTGTTTTTTTTTAATTTTTTATATATATGACAAGATTTCAGAGTAAATATGATACATTTAAAATGCCCACTATGGTGATATTTTGACAACATTCTCATTATGTGACCAGAAACTACAAAAAAAAAAGAATACTGCAGATTAGATATCCACTAATGATCTTTTGGACCCCAAAATATTGATGTGTGAAACAGCCTACCGCATTCAGGTGTACAAGCAACAGCCATTAAAAATATGCCCTCCCATTTCATGGGATGGGACAGACATGGGCAAAGCTATATGCCCTCCTATTTCATCGGATGGGACAGACATGGGCAAAGCTATATGCCCTCCTATTTCATGGGATGGGACAGACATGGGCAAAGCTATATGCCCTCCTATTTCATGGGATGGGACAGACATGGGCAAAGCTATATGCCCTCCTATTTCATGGGATGGGACAGACATGGGCAAAGCTATATGCCCTCCTATTTTATGTACTAGATAGACAACACACCCCAGCTGTAGTTACATGAGGAACATTTAGTGTTGTGATACCTACCTTCTGCCCGTAGCTGATAGTTTGAACGCACAGATTGACTGCTTGTAGCATTAGACACTGTTGAGTTGTTGGTCCCATTGATTGCATTGTTAATTTTTATTTCTAACTTATTAAGTCGTTCAAGCATGCTTTCTAAAAGCACCGCCATCGTTTTCTTCAAATCTGTATAGAAATATTGATAAGAGTATCATGGTATTAAAATTAAATATGTAAATGTCGAAATACAGAGAGGTCACATAAATACAACTGCTAGAGCACATCTACAAATTTTTTCTTTTGATTATTATATCAGGGGATTTAAAATGCAGTACATTTATTTATTTATGCTTAAAAATATTTGATTTGCCATTGTCTATCCTCAAATTTTCACAAGCAAACAACAACATGTAATGAAGAGTCATTACCGTAGGCAGTAAAACGACCAGCATAGGGGCCATCCACTATGTCGGAATTCTCCCGGGCTAGTGCTCGCACATAATTTTCACTTAATTGGATAATTTCATTCTGGAAAAGAATAACATCACTAGAAATATCATAAACGATTGTGCCACAATTTTTATATGAACTATTCTGCTCCTACAAAATTATGTCTGCTCTGTCAAATCTTACAAATAACTTCTTTTTTTTTTTTTTTTGTAATTTACATATATCATTTCTGAATTTACAATCAATTTCATTTTTTTTCGTCCATAACTGTAATTTCAGCATTTTACCCTGTTAGAACTGTACTTACTAAGGCTACTTTAACAATCATTACAATATTTTACCCTGTTAAGACTGTACTTACTAAGGCTACTTTAACAATCATTACAATATTTTACCCTGTTAAGACTGTACTTACTAAGGCTACTTAAGATTGTACTTACTAAGGCTACTTTAACAATCATTACAATATTTTACCCTGTTAAGACTGTACTTACTAAGGCTACTTTAACAATCATTACAATATTTTACCCTGTTAAGACTGTACTTACTAAGGCTATAACAATCATTACAATATTTTACCCCGTTAGAACTGTACTTACTAAGGCTATAACAATCATTACAATATTTTACCCTGTTAAGACTGTACTTACTAAGGCTACTTTAACAATCATTACAATATTTTACCCTGTTAAGACTGTACTTACTACGGCTACTTTAACAATCATTACAATATTTTACCCTGTTAAGACTGTACTTACTAAGGCTACTTAAGACTGTACTTACTAAGGCTACTTAAGACTGTACTTACTAAGGCTACTTTAACAATCACTTCAATATTTTACCCTGTTAAGACTTTACTTTACTATTTTACCCTGTTAAGACTGTACTTACTAAGGCTATAACAATCATTACAATATTTTACCCTTTTAAGACTGTACTTACTAAGGCTACTTTAACAATCATTACAATATTTTACCCTGTTAAGACTGTACTTACTAAGGCTACTTTAACAATCATTACAATATTTTACCCTGTTAAGACTGTACTTACTAAGGCTACTTTAACAATCATTACAATATTTTATCCTGTTAAGACTGTACTTACTAAGGCTACTTTAACAATCATTACAATATTTTACCCATTAAGACTGTACTTACTAAGGCTACTTTAACAATCACTACAATATTTTACCCTGTTAAGACTGTACTTACTAAGGCTACTTTAACAATCATTACAATATTTTACCCTGTTAAGACTGTACTTACTAAGGCTACTTTAACAATCATTACAATATTTTATCCTGTTAAGACTGTACTTACTAAGGCTACTTTAACAATCATTACAATATTTTACCCATTAAGACTGTACTTACTAAGGCTACTTTAACAATCACTACAATATTTTACCCTGTTAAGACTGTACTTACTAAGGCTACTTTAACAGAATCATTACAATATTTTACCCTGTTAAGACTGTACTTACTAAGGCTACTTTAACAATCACTACAATATTTTACCCTGTTAAGACTGTACTTACTAAGGCTACTTTAACAATCACTACAATATTTTACCCTGTTAAGACTGCACTTACTAAGGCTACTTTAACAATCATTACAATATTTTACCCTGTTAAGACTGTACTTACTAAGGCTACTTTAACACTCACTTACAATATTTTACTGTTAAGACTGTACTTACTAAGGCTACTTTAACAATCACTTCAATATTTTACCCTGTTAAGACTTTACTTACTAAGGCTATAACAATCATTACAATATTTTACCCTGTTAAGACTGTACTTACATAGGTTACTTTAACAATCATTACAATATTTTACCCATTAAGACTGTACTTACTAAGGCTACTTTAACAATCATTACAATATTTTACCCTGTTAAGACTGTACTTACTAAGGCTACTTTAACAATCATTACAATATTTTACCCTGTTAAGACTGTACTTACTAAGGCTACTTAAGATTGTACTTACTAAGGCTACTTTAACAATCACTCAATATTTTACCCTGTTAAGACTTTACTTACTAAGGCTATAACAATCATTACAATATTTTACCCTGTTAAGACTGTACTTACATAGGTTACTTTAACAATCATTACAATATTTTACCCATTAAGACTGTACTTACTAAGGCTACTATAACAATCATTACAATATTTTACCCTGTTAAGACTGTACTTACATAGGTTACTTTAACAATCATTACAATATTTTACCCATTAAGACTGTACTTACTAAGGCTACTTTAACAATCATTACAATATTTTATCCTGTTAAGACTGTACTTACTAAGGCTACTTTAACAATCATTACAATATTTTACCCTGTTAAGACTGCACTTACTAAGGCTACTTTAACAATCATTACAATATTTTACCCTGTTAAGACTGTACTTACTAAGGCTACTTTAACAATCACTTCAATATTTTACCCTGTTAGAACTGTACTTACTAAGGCTATAACAATCATTACAATATTTTACCCTGTTAAGACTGTACTTAGGCTACTTTAACAATCATTACAATATTTTACCCTGTTAAGACTGTACTTACTAAGGCTACTTTAACAATCATTACAATATTTTACCCTGTTAGAACTACCTCAACAGATCTGAAACAAGTTCACGTTTCACCCAAGTAAAAGTGAAATTACAATTTTCACGGATACTGGCAATTTACACATTAAACAACCTACCATCATCATTATATTGCCTCACCTTTAAGATTTCACTCTCCTTTTCTGTTCCGCCCGTGGTGGTGGACATGCGATAAAGAGTGACACACCAGAAAAAGAATAGAAGGCATGCCAGTAATAGAAGTTGTCGACTGTTAGGCATACGTCCACACATCCGCCATAGTGTCACTGCCATGGTAATACACTGCTACATCAGCTTCATTTTCATCTACCAACAAATCAATGTATTTCATACACCAGTTCTATTGTCATCTACCAAATAACAAAGTGTCTAGACTAACAAGGTTCTACTGTACACACAAACCAAAGTGTCCAGACTAACAAGGTTCTACTGTACACACAAACCAAAGTGTCTCGACAAACAAGGTTCTACTGTACACACAAACCAAAGTGTCTAGACTAACAAGGTTCTACTGTACACATCACAAATAAAATATCAGTATAAAACAGGAATAGTAATTCCTTGCTTGTAAACAAAACTGAACTTGACGGTCACCCAAGATATGCAATATTGATATAAAGGTTAAAGGATAGTTATCAAGTGTCATGAAACAGAAGTTGTGACACTGAATATAGTAAGTCAGTGTCAATACATGCATTCCATCAAAACTGTCATCCTATACTAATAATTCTTATAAAGTTATTCTCAGTGCTAAAAATTACTAATTTTCTATGACAATTACAGTAAAATTTCAAAAAACTTTAGCTCCAGGAAAAAATGTGAGATCCATTTTGGTAATTAAAGCACCTTAAGATGCTTCAATTCATACAGAGCATTTGAGTCTACCATATCTGGGTGTTGAGAAAAGGATCAATATAAGCATACCGTTAAGCCATCATCCTTCACTCACAATTCTAACCAAGCTTGAAACATTTCCAATGGAAATTCAACATTTTATGTTAAAAAATTCTATTTTTCCAATATAAATTTTAGTACCCCCTCCCGACAGGGAAATGTGAGACCCTGGGGCCATGAAATTCACAATTTTAGTGAAACACCTTATGATACTTCCATCCATGAAGAGCATTTGGTTCTACCCTAACTTGGTGTAGAGAACAGATTTCTGAAATCTGTGTCAATTTGACCCATTTTGGCCCCATCAAACAGCGCCTGGGGATCAGCCAGGATCAATATGGACATACCATCAATCTGTCATCCTTCACTCACAATTCTAACAAAGTTTGAAACATTTCCAACGGAAATTCAACAAATTATGCTAAAAATCTTTTTTTCCTATATTAACTGTAGTAACACCTTGCCACAGGAAAATGTGATACCCTGGGACCATGAAATTCACAATTCACAATTTTGGTTAAGCACCTTAAGATGCTTCCATTTTGAAGAACAGTTGATTCTACCATATATGAGTGTAGAGAAAGAGAGAGAATGAATATGCATCAATTTGGCCCTGTCTAACAACCCCACAGCCCCTGGGGGTCAGCCAGGATCATTAAAGGGAACACAAGCCGTTATCCTTCATACATAATTCTAACTCAGCCCTTGAAGGGTGGGGACTGTATAATTCTAACTCGGCCCCTGAAGGGTGGGGACTGTATAATTCTAACTCGGCACCTAAAGGGTGAGGACTGCATAATTCTAATTTGGCCCCTAAAGGCTGGGGACTGTGTAATTCAGAATTTTGGTTCATCTTAGCCTCGGGAAAATTTCTGCAAATTTCATTGAAATCAGATCAGGAGTGTTAAACTGTTTACGTACGCATGATGTCGCATGAAGGTGATCGCAATAGGAAACTATGAGACTTTGTCTCAGGTAACCTAAAAAATACACATGACAGTTTCTGTGTTAAAATGCAGAAAAGGAAACCTACCTGCACCACCCTAGTGGAATGCTGAACAACAGCTGACATTTTGGTTACTGCTAGCCTTGCTGTACGTCTGTGGAATCATTGGTCTGCTGACTCCAATCATCTTCTTTTACCTACAAATCACAAACCATATCAAATATTAATCATTGTGCTTGGATTTATAGCCAAAGTGTGTAGTCTGTTCCTCTTGTGTAGTCTGTAACAGCAGGTATCTACTTGCAGAACATCCCTACAGAGGGCGAGAAGAATTGGATCATTAATAATGGTCTAACAAAATTCATTAGTTATTACATATATCCTTTTTTTTTAAGGATTTTCACAAATATTAAAACCTATTATCCTTTTTTGAAATACAAAAGGCCCATAAGGCCTGTATCGCTCACCTGGTCAATTTTGCTGAAATTAATTCATTTAAACTAAAGGAAAATTATTAAAAAGACTAAATCTTTTTCCCCTCTTTGGTCCCGCCATCCTTATCCCCAAGAGAGTTTCATGTACTTTTTGTACAAAACTCAACATTTATAAAAACAAAATGACTGCCCTATGAAAGCATGCTTCAGGCCAAATTGGTACATCAAGGTACCGTATTTATTCCAATAAACGCCCCGTCTCTAATAAACGCCCCCCCACCTGTTTTCTCAGTAAATTTCAACAACTCAGGAGTCAGGTTACAAAGCTTACCTTTTAATAAATTTTAAATTCCTGGTATCCATGAACATGAACAAATGAATTTTGGCACAAGAAAATTACACTGTCACGACACGTACACAAATAATATCAATTTAATCCATGGTTCATTTCAATATACTGCAGGCCTAATGGCTGGGACTGCCGTATAAACTACTGTCTTCACTTTCACTTCCACTTTCACCAGTCTCGCTTTCACTCAGTTCTATTTTTGGAATAGAAGGCGCATTCACATCACCCATTAAATTTTGCAAAACGTCATCTGCAGCTTGGACATCCTTTTCACTAACCCCTGGAATTCCTCATCGTCAGAATCATACTGGAAAATATGATCCTCACTACCGTCCAGCAAAATTGTGATACCGCATTTTTTGAATGATCTTCTGATTGTGTCCGGGCTAATGCTATCCCATACTGTCTTGACCCAAGACAACATTACAGCTTTAGATGGAGCTTTACGATTCCCTGCTTTGGTTTTCTCAATGGGGCCACTGAAACACCATTCGTCATACAACTCTCAAAGTTTTTCTTTGAAGGGTTTATTCCACGACACATCGGCTGGCTGTAGCTTACATGTACATACAGATGTCTAAATTATATTTTTGACAAACCAGTTTTTTTACATCTTCAGTAAGATGACCACGGAAAGCGTCCCATACTAATAACCGCCTGGCTGTATTATTCACACCCCAGAGTTTTTTTAACCAAAATTTTATACTTTCCTCGTTTGCCCAGGATTTTTGTCCGGCCCCGCACATGTATACCACAATACCACTTGGTATGTCATCTTTCGGAAGGGGACGAATGCCTGGCATGTGCACAAGGGGGGCAATTTTAGTCCCATCGGCATATGCTGCCAGTGTCACCGTTATTTTTTGTTTTTCGTGGACAGTACTGTAAACTCTGACCTCCTTTTCCCCCTTCATTGCCAATGTCGATTTTCCTGGCATGTCAAACCACATCGGGGTTTCGTCCATGTTAGCGATATGGCTATCGGGGTATTCTCGTAGCCGACGCATTCTTAACACGAAATTCAAAAAACTGTCAATACGATCATCAATTAATGAAACTTCATGTTGTGCCATATGAGGCTTTGAACGACTGACTACCATTTGCCTTATGCATACGCAGGGCCTCAAACCGCAATGTTTTCCCAGTCACTCGTATTCCGGCCTCCCGTCTGTCCTGTAGCCATCTCATCAGATTTCTGTCAATATCTTCATATCTGACATGCCTCCCACCTCCTTTACAGTGTTTAGATGTTTTAGAAAGATTTTTTAATTTTTCTTTGTTTTGACACCAGTCCCGCACTCGTTTTCTGTCAACACGAATCACTTTCGCGGCGGCATGTTTACCCTTCTCCTCTGCGAAGGCGATTACTTTAAGCTTGAAAGCAGTGTCATAATTTCGTTTTGTCTCAGACATTGTTATCAGGTATGTGGGATTTATTAAGAAACAGACTGGCTTATATACTGCTGTGTTTTTTTATTTTGTTTTGCAAACTAGGCCTACAAGCGATGATGAACATTGTACGTTTTTGACTGAAGCTGACACGATGTCATACAAGAATTCAGGTTATCAGAATGCAATTGACAACAATGTTTAAAGCTACAACGATGTTGGAATTACTGCAATTTTCAAATGCATTCTTTGCGGAGTAATTCGTTAGTTTGTTAAACAATGTTTTTAAGTGGCAGCCATGGCATGTCACGACCAACAAATTATGAACTTTTGTGTTCTATTAATCGCCCCCTGTCTGAAAAATTTCACGCCCCCAGGGCTTTATTGGAATAAATACCCAGTGGGAGGTATTTGTATTAAGACAGCTATTTATATACAGAACAACTGTCTATAAAGACGGAACCTTCTCTCTCTCCAGTGGGAGGTATTAAGACAGCTATTTATATACAGAACAACTGTCTATAAAGACGGAACCTTCTCTCTCTCCAGTGGGAGGTATTAAGACAGCTATTTATATACAGAACAACTGTCTATAAAGACGGAACCTTCTCTCTCTCCAGTGGGAGGTATTAAGACAGCTATTTATATACAGAACAACTTTGTTTTACAAACAACAACTGTTTTACACGGCATGGCCTTAAGCAGGACACTACATAATACAGTCATGCAGAGTAACGCAGCATTTTTGTGTTGAGATAAAAGTTATACAAATGTCACACCCAAAATTGTCTTGCTTTTCTTAAACAAGATATAAATAATTCCTCTTTTAAAGATTGCAACTCACAGTAATAAGCTAAGATTATACAAGGCATTTGTTAAACTTAAACTTAGAGATTTCTAAATGTTCCTGTAAGGACAGAAAATTTTATGAAGTTTATCATTAACATTTGTGTAAAAATAAAGATAGATTTTTATGCTGTAGACTTAACAAATCATTTCACTAGGAATTAAAAAAAAAAATAGAAATTAGCTCATCAAAAATAAAAAATAATTTATATCTGGTGCCAGCTAGTTTCTATGATGCTACATTAACTTCCTCAAACAGAAACCTGTCAATGTTTTATAACACAGATACTTAACAAGAGGCCCAAGGGGCCTTAACGGTCACCTGAGGAATATATGTCAATAATCTGGGGATTTTAAAATGTTGCAAAAATGTAACAACACTTATGCAGGACCATGTGTAAAACATCAGTACCAAGTTTGAACATGACCCACCCAATGGTTCTTGAGAGGAAGTCCATAATGTCTTAGCCAAACAGAGGTCAGGGTGGCCATTTTGGATTTTGAATCGCCCCAAAAAGTTAAAACATTTGCCAGGACCTTGTGTAGAACATTCATATCAAGTTTCCCCTTTTCCCCCCTCCTGGGGCTCCTATTGGGGCCACACCCTTTTTCTTCGCAAACTAGAAGTGGCTTCCCATGCGGATGCGTTGTGCCAAGTTTGGTCAATATCCATCCACTGGTTCCTGAGAAGTAGTCATTTAATGAAGGTTTTTCCATATGGCCCCTTTTACACCCCTTATGGGCCCCAAAGGGTACATTACGACCTTTTTTCGACATAATTTCATATGTCCTTCACTAAAGGATGCTTTCGACCAAATTTGGTTAAAATTGGTCAAAGTTGAAATTTTAACCCTTTTGAGCACCCCCCCTAGTGGGGCCGTTTTTGACCCGATTTTTTTTTCATTCGCAAACTTCGTAAACCTTGCCATAAGGACCCTAAATATCAAATATGAATTTAATCTGACTGTTGGTACATCAGAAGAAGTTTTTTAAAGATTTACCTTCAGCTCAGGCGACCTAAAAATGTTGTCCTTTCCTCATTCAGAATCCTCACAATGTTTTATAACACAGATACCTAATATGTCCTTCCCTCAAACAGAAGCCTCTCAAAGTTTTATAACAGATACCTCATATGTCCTTCCCTCAAACAGAAACTTCTCAATGTCTTATAACAGATACCTAATATGTCCTTCCCTCATACAGAAGCCTTTCAAGGTTTTATAACACAGATACCTAATAGGTCCTTCCCTCAAACAGAAGCCTCTCAATGTTTTATAACACAGATACCTAATACCTAATATGTCCTTCCCACAAAAAGAAACCTCTCAAATAATGATGTTACCATAGCAACCAGAATCTTAAACATTTGAAAAAAGATATCAATTTCCCATCATCAGCAAATGCCTTTGATTATGCCCAGAGGGTCTGTATCGCTCACCTGGATCTTTATCACCAACATTACTATATCTGTGCAAATATTCCATGTTTAACACATTTAACCCCTGTGACCTTGACTATGGGTCAAGGTCATTTCTTTTACTTTCTTGGACTTCATAAAAGGAACATACTGGCCAAATATAATGATTTTAGGCTTTTCTATATTTCCTGTGACCTTGAAGATTGGTCAAGGTCATTTCTTTAAGCAAACTTTGTAGGACACCATAAGAGGAACATAGTAGCCAAATATAATGATTCTAGGCCTTCTGGTATTTTGAAAGAAGTCGCTTAAAATTTTTTAACACATTTGACCTCTGTGACCTTGAATATGGGTCAAGGTTATTTTTTTCGCAAACTTTGTTTGACTTCATCAAAGGAACCTTCCAGCCATATATAATGATTGAAGGCCTTCCAGTATTTTGGAAGAAGTCGTTTAAATGTTTTACCACATTTTACCTCAGTGACCTTGAATATGGGTCAAGGTCATTTCTTTTTGCAAAGTTTGTTTGGCTTAATCAAAGTAACCTTCCAGCCAAATATGATGACTCTAGGCCTTCTGGTATTTTGGAAGAAGTTATTTTAAGGTTTTAACACATTTGACCTCTGCGACCTTGAATATGGATCAAGGTCATTTCTTTTTGCAAACTTTGTTGGGCTTCATCAAAGGCACAATGTACATATGTAAGATTTTAGGCATTAGGTATCCGTGTATTGAAATTCAAGTGAAATATCTCCTTCTGTA